TTGGACACTTCCCGACTGTGTGATGTATTGGCGAATAATGCGTGCAAATGGTAATTTTGTCAGCACCGATTGTGTTTAAGTGCAGGCCAAGGTCTTTTGTACCCAGTGTTCCGATCACTACTGGGACCACCTTTACTGGCTTGTGCCAGAGTCTATTATTATTATGATTATTATTATGATTATGATTATTATTATTATTATTATGCTAGATTACATTGTGTTTTTAAAATATGGGATTCACCCATGACCTCCCATAAACTCTGTATGTGGTTATAGCAATACAGAATTTTAGAACAAGTTCCCAAACTATAGAAAATAATTCACTTTTGTAGACACTAAATAGGGACATTATATTAACTACGACAGAGCCCTAGTGACACAAACACTTATTTAGGGAACGTGCTTTATCCTCCACCATCCAGAATGTTTTGGGCAACCACAAAACAGAAACGGGAAATCGAAGCAGGCATGTTGATGTAAGGACTTCTTGCAGACCCTGAAATTAGTTGGGGAGAATATGGAAGAGCAAGCAAAAAGCCTTCAGAAAAAGGTTGTAAAGGCAACAACCAAAATGATAATAACAGCCATAAATCACATTTATAGCAAGAGTTTGAACCCGTGGAGAGGGAGGTAACACTAAAGCAAATAGGTTTTGGAAAAAAGATACAAAAATACCGCAAAAGGAGAATAAAATATCCATTTAAGAATAAGTTTTTTTTGGTACCTCCAAAGTGGGGGATGCCACCTTCAGATAGCAGTGCTGGTAGACTCCACACTGAGAGATTGAGTGATTTGTTTATAGCTCTATGGCCACACACTGAGAAGTTTGTCATAAAAAATAAAAGCGTTCTCCCCCATGCTGCGGCTGAAATCGAAAAATGTGTTCGGGTGAAAGAGAACAATTTCCACCTTGCGGGTGTTGTGAAAGGAAGGAAGCAAACTGACTGTTTATAGACATTCTGCTGTTCACTCGTTTTCCTTAATGCAATGCTTTAGGCTCCTGAGTCATTAGTGGCTTGAGCACCCAGTATAAGTCGGCACCTTTCAAGGTGTTTACATTCAACTGTAGCTTTCTATAAAACACTAGCCGTCTCCTGCCACACGTTGCTTTGGCCCACTCTGGTGGTCATGGGGGTTCTGTGTTAGAGGTTTGGCCCAATTCTATTGTTGGTGGGGTTAAGAATGCTCTGTGATTATAAGTGAACTACAAATCCCAGCAACTACAACTCCCAAATGTCAAGATTCTTTTCCCCAAACTCCACCAGTGTTCACATTTGGGCATATTGAGTATTTGTGTAGAGTTTGGTCCAGATCCATCATTGTTTGAGTCCACAGTGATCTCTGGATGTAGGTGAACTACAACTCCAAAACCAAAGGACACTGTCCACCAAACCCTTCCAGTATTTTCTGTTGGTCATGGGAGAACTGTGTGCCAAGTTTGGTTCAATTCCATCGTTGGTGGGGTTCAGAATGCTCTTTGATTGTAGGTGAACTATAAATCCCAGCAATTACTTTTCCATCTCCCAGGAGCCTGGTTTGCTTTACCTTGCAGTTGCTTGAGATTGCTTCCCCTTGCATTTTTCCCAGGGATGCTGCAGCTCTGCAGAGCCCTTGGGCCCGCTTTACCCTCCGCCTCTGTGGGCCCAGCCTCTCCTACCTTTGGGATGCGGCCTCGCAGCATCCTGGAGGCAGGAGAAGGGTGGGGGGAGGCCTTAAATCCAGTCATGTCCGACTCTGGGACTCTGCTGCTCATCTCCATTTCTAAGCTGAAGAGCCGGTGTTGTCCATAGACACCTCCAAGGTCATGTGGCCGGCATGACTGCATGGAGCGCCGTTACCTTCCTGCCGGAGCGGTATCTATTGATCTACTCACATTTGCATGTTTTCAAACTGCTAGGTTTATATTTATTCTAAACTGCTAAGTTTATATTTGTTAAAATAGTTCTTCATTTTAATTATTGTATTATTTAAAGTGTTTTTTGCACTACAAATAAGACATGTGAGGTGTGGATAGGAATTCATCCATGTTTTTTTTTTTTCAAATTATAATCCGGCCCTCCAACAGTTTGAGGGACTGTGATCCGGCCCTTTATTCAAAAAGTTTGGGGGGCCCTGCCCTAATCTGTCAAGATCATTTTGAAATCTGCTCCTGTCTTCTGGAGTATTGGCTATCCCTCCCAATTTGGTGTCATCTGCAAACTTGATGATCATGCCTTCTAAGCCTTCATCTAAGTCATTAATAAAGATGTTAAACAGAACTCATATAGTCCAGTTCAAAGATGATAATGTGGATTATTTATTTATCATGTCATCCGCACGATAATGTGGATTATCAGCTTTGATAATGTGGATTATATGGCAGTGTAGAAGGGGCCAGAGAAGCTCTTTAGAGGTTGATCCAGATTTCCCCAGTCATCCACAATTAATGGTGAGGAGTGTTAGAAGCTGCAGTACAACAACGTCTAGGTCATGCCACCCTGGTCATTCCACAGAAATATAAACCCAATTTTCCTGGTTCCAGCAGACCTCACTACCTCTGAGGAAGCTTGCCATAGATGCAGGCGAAACGTCAGGAGAGAATGCCTCTAGAACATGGCCATATAGCCCGAAAAAACCTACAACAACCCAGTGATTCCGGCCATGAAAGCCTTCGACAAAACTTCTAGGTTATTTTTAGAGCTGCTATTGGGCCCCTGGTTTTCCTAATGTTGCCTAACACATCATGGAAATGTACAACATACAGTAGAGAAGTACAATAATGAAGATAATGTATGTTAGAATTTCTTCAATTTGAGGCTTAAATCTAATATTGCTGAAAGTCACAATTGTCACTTTTCATAAACCACAAGAAACTTCTGCTTTAACTGTATTTATATGAATTTATGTTTGCCCAAAGTACATGAACTGTTGTACTCACCATATAATATTGTCAGCATTGATACAGGCATGACAAGAAACCCCAAGAGCATGTCAGCAATGGCAAGTGACATCAGGAAATAGTTTGTAGCATTCTGCAGCCTTTTCTCTAATGATACAGCCATGATGACAAGAATATTTCCAGCGATTGTTACAATCATCACAACGATAACTAGCAAGGCGGGCCAGTTTTTCTCGGGAAGAGGACTGTTTTCATGAAGAGAGGTGTTACAGAGTGGAGGGAGACTCTTCTCGCAAGAGCAGTTCATTGCATCTTCAACATACAAAGTCAGATTATACACATTCGACACATTGATCTCTTTAGAGACCAACATATTCCTGCAGAGTTTCCTGTCTTGGCTCAGTTGTAGCAACGTGTTCCCTGTGTGGTCCATCGAAGCCTTTTCTTCATAAAGCATGTCCGTTTCTAAGAACTGATATCTGTAAAATGCAAATTGCAGCTGTTTTTACATGATAAATTCTTGCATTCCTCGTGGGTGCAAAGCTGGAAATAAAAACGTTGAGAGGTTGCTTTACTTTTTCATTCGAAAAGCAAAATCAACATTCCAAATATTACAATATCCTCGGTTCGATGTCTAGTCTAGTGACAAGAATCTAATCGATGACAAAACTCCTTTGCAGATTACGACATGTTGACACAAAGCTATACAAAACAGGAAATAAATAGTGCACAGGTAACTGATTTTATAACTAGCCTTTGCCAGACAGAATGATATCTCTAAAGTACCTTATTTTTACATTGTTATTTTGCAAGATCCTGCATACAGCAGTAATGCTTTACCTTGGTTTGCTTGATCCTTCATTGCTTTTGCCAACCTGAAGTCCTTCCCTCTGCCCGCTTTCCACAATAATCATATTCTTCTGACAGTTTTGCTGACTTCTGAACTATGCACTTGCCCCCAGTAGTTTTTCTTCATCTGTACGTCTTCTTTGCTAAGCATAGGCTGCTTCCACTGACAGCTCGCTTTGTTTGTATTTCCTCTTTAAGGCAAGCGATGCTGGAAGAATTGTCTTCAAGAGATGTACAGACACTAAAAACAGAAGTCTCCATGCAAGGTGCAGAAGGGATTCTAGCAAGGAGGTAATTTCTTTCCCACTGATTTGTTTGGCATTCCAGATCTCCGGCGAATCAAACAAAATAAACAGGTAGAAGAAAGACAGACAAAAGAGGGATGAATTTGTTTCTTATATGCTGTAGCCTTGTATCCAGAGCTTATATTTAAAGAACAACAACAACAAACAATTTCCATGGGTAAAAATGCTATGCAGAGGAGGGTTTGGCAGCTGCAATATCTTCTACCGCAAGAAACTGAGGAAGGCAGAAAACCAGGTTAGGAATGGTACATGCTGGCAAATGGTAAACAGATCATACCATACTAGAAGCTGCTCACGTCATGACCTTAAAACAAGCTGCCTGTACTTCGTCCCTATCAGAGGTAATTTGAGGACCAGTTTGATGTCATAGAAAACAAACAATTAAAGAAAGAAAATGATGTATTGTCGAAGGCTTTCATGGCCAGAATCACTGGGTTGTTGTTGTTGTTATTATTATTATTATTAACTTTATTTATACCCTGCAAAATCTCCCRAAGGACTYGATRTGGCTTRCAAAGGCCAAGGCCGCCAACAACAACAGCATACAAATATAACAGTAAAACTCATAAGCAAATAATAAAACATCAAGCAAAAACAATAAAACACTAAAAACAATGACATCATGATGCATTTAAAACCTAAAGGCCAGGCCAAATGTAATGGACAGAATTTAAAAGTGCTGAACTTGACAGGAGRTATGCAGAGGTTTTTTGGAGGTAGGTGCAATGTGCAGACAATCCTGGTCTCTAACAAAGTGCATTTGGGACATGATGCCAGGAGTTTCCTATTCTGGAAAGGCACACTGGAACAGCCAGGTCTTCAGGCTCTTCCTAAAGATTGCCAACATTGGGACTTGTCTGATGTCCTTGGGGAGAGAGTTCCAGAGTCGGRGGGCCACCACAGAGAAGGCCCTGTCCCTTGTCCCCACCAAACGCGCTTGCGACGCAGGTGGGATCATGAGCAGGGCCTCTCCAGATGACCGAAGGGAATGCGTGGGTTCGTATGAGATGCGGTCACGCAGGTAGGCGGGTCCCAAACCGTTTAGGGCTTTGTAAGTGAGCACCTGCACTTTGAATTGGGACTGGGAGATGAACTCCCGGAGCTCCTTAAACAGGGCTGTTGTAGGTTTTTTCGGGCTATATGGCTCTAGAACAGTGGTTCTCAAACTTCCTAATGCCATGACCCCTTAATCCAGTTCCTCATGTTATGGTGACCCTCAACCATAAAATTATTTTCATTGCTACTTCATAACTGTCATTTTGCTACTGTTATGAATCATAATGTAAATATCTGATATGCAGGATGTATTTTCATTCACTGGACCAAATTTGGCACAAATACCTAATATGCCTACATTTAAATACTGGTGGGGTTGGGGGGAAATTATTTTTGTCATTTGAGAGTTCCAATCAATCAATCAGTGATTTATTACGGTCTTTGACCAGCACAGTACAGAATGGGGCATCAGTGCCCAAGGAAGGGAATCGCAGTTCCCAAGTAGATCAGGTATAAAAGCAGATTAAAAGCAGATTAAAAACATGTTATAAAAGAGACAAATTAAAAAGATAAAACAGACTAAACTTACAGTTTAAAGTGCATGTATGAATCTAAAATAGGGGGTGGCTAATAACAAATATTAGACGACTGGGAAGCTATAAAAGGGATGAGAGGGGAGCATTTACAGCATTTCAGTTATTACAAATCATTCTAACTATATTCCTGGCAGGAAGTTGCCTGGTGGAGTCTGTCATCAGCCGTCTAATGTTAATTGCTGCTGCACAGAACTTGGCAACACTGTAGGTTGTCGCAGAGCAAGAGTCCGAGAGCAACAGGGAGGTGTAATATCTTTCAGTGCGCCCTGGATGTTTTAAAAGCCATGGAGTGATGAAATTAGCTCTAATGTCTCTATAGAACACACATTGGAGGAGCACATGTTCAGTTGTTTCGATGTAGCCAGACTCACACGGGCATAGTCTCTCCTGGGCAGGGGTCTTCCGGTACCTCCCCTCCAGTACTGCCGATGGAAGGGCATGGCATCTTGCCAAAGTGAAAGCTCTTCGGTGTTTAGGCACCTCCAGGTTTGCTAAGTAAGGCATGGGAGCGATGAGATATCTGCTATCTTCGCTAATGGTGAATGCTGGAGAGCAGGCTAAGTCTGATTGTCGCTCTATATCCAGGATCCGTTGTCTAATAAGAGCCTTGGCTTGGTCCCATCCCATACCTAGCAGTTGTCCTTGAGAGAAGCCTAGAGTTGCGATTTTGATTGCCACTGCCTTATTCCATGTAGACTGAAATTCATCTCTCAGAGTTAATGGAGCAAGGCCACATGTTGAGAAAGACAGATGCAGCCAATAATTGAGGGTGGCTGTCCACACTCTCGCCTCCACTCTCACAAGGCCTGTCTCTAATCGCAGGGTGGCGTTTGAGACACATCTGGGGACCTGCATCGCCGATCTTAGAAATTTTGATTGTATTTGCTCCAGAGGGGCATAGTTTGTGAAGGGACCAAGTTGGGCTCCATACATCATTTGAGCTATGGATTTTGCCTCAAAGAGCTTAAGTGCAGCTGGTATGTAGTGGCCTCCTCCCGTTTTGAGGAACCTTAGGATAGCATATGAGTTCTTTTGTGCTGCCTCTGCTACGTAATCCACATGTACTTTCTTGTTTCCAGTGCAGTGATAGAATACTCCCAGGTATTTAAAGCTGGAGACCTGTTCAATATTGTTTCATTTGAGAGTTGTAGTTGCTGGGATTTATAGTTCATCTACAATCAAAGAGCATTCTGAACTCCAGCAACGATTGAATTGAACCAAACTTGGCACACAGAACTCCCATGACCAACAGAAAATACTGGAAGGGTTTGGTGAGCACTGACCTTGAGTTTTGGAGTTGTAGTTCACCTACATCCAGAGAGCACTGTGGACTCAAACAATGATAGATCTGGACCAGAATTAGCACAAATAATATACCCAAATGTGGTGGAGTTTGGGGAAAATAGACCTTGATATTTGAGAGTTGTAGTTGCTGGGATTTATAATTAACCTAAAATCAAAGAGCATTCTGAACTCCACCAACGATGGATTAGAACAAACCTTGGCACACAGAACTCCCATGACTAACTCTGAGGCCCAGCCGAGGGAGCCTTCACGCAAGGAGAGCCCTTGGCTGGGTTGCGGCCTTGGAATCTTATTTGTCCTTGGTACTACTAAAGCAAAAAACAAACAAAAACCAAACCACAAATCTAGATCCTCATGCAACAACTGCTTCTTTGTATAATTAAAAAATTAATAAAGACTATAGCATGCAGATTATTTTTTCTTTGGTTACAGATGATATATAGCTGAAATCAGGTGTCCAAAATACCTTAAGATAGTCACATGCTCAATCACATGCATAATAAGGTGTGTAATCCCCACTTTATCTATTTCTGTAACTGTTTCTGCTCATATTATCCTTTCCTGCTTTGCCCACCTTTAGTTATCCTTGACAATCCCCCCACCTTCCGGGCCATTATTCTGGGTCTGCCACTCACATTGTGTGCTCTTCTTATCAAAAGTGCACAGTACTGAGGACAGAGGAATGAGACAGAATATTGGAAGTCTCTCTCTCCTTCTCAATTGTCAAAATAATAAATCTTCTCTCCCCTTGACTCTTCTCTAAATGGCAAATCTGTCATGGTACGGCAATGCAATGCAAAAGACATCCATTACAGGGGGCATTGTGAAGATAGCTGTCACAGGATATATTCATAATGCATTGGAGAGAGAGCAAGAAAGAATAGACTGTAAGGAATCGATGATTGTAGCCAGTATGGTCTAATGGCCTTAGTGTTGGGTCTGTGAGTTGGCACACCAAGGTTCAAATCTCTGCTTAGACGTGTTGGGAGCTGTCTTGGGTCCCATTTGGGAGAATGAGTGATGTAAATTCATGACAAAATCAATTGGTTTAACACCTTATTTTCCTGACACCTACTTTGGCAACTTAGCCTTGTGGCCAATCCCTAAAACCTGACTCTCCTCCCCCCCCCCCCCCCCTTTAACTACGAAGTGGAGGAGATATGAGCTCCATCCAGATCCCTCAAAGCATCAGATCAACTGTAGGAGGAAAGCAGAAATTCTGGGATCTTTCTTGTTGTTTCTTTGTCAGTGCTGATGTAGAGATTGTCTGGTTTGCCTACTCTGGAACATACAACATATAATTGTCCTTCTTTAGGGGTCTCTTTCAAATCCATTGTACTATATCTGTCATATACATATATGTGTGTGTGAATCATATATGTCTATCTATATCTCTGGCTGGATGGCTCTTTGTCAGGAGGGCTTAGATTGTTTTCTTGCCCTGGTGAAGAATGTAGGACTGGATGGCCTTAAGGCAGCATTTCTCAACCTGGGAGTCGGGACCCCTGAGGGGTCATGAAGGGGTGTCAGAAGAGTTGCTAAAGACCACTAGAAAACACAGGATATTCTATTGGTCATGGAGGTTCTGTGTGGGAAGTTTGGCCCAATTCTATCTTTGGGGAGTTCAGGATGCTCTTTGATTGTAGGTGAACTATAAATCCCAATAACTACAACTCCCAAATGTCAAGGTCTGTTTTCCCCAAACTCCATCTGGGTTCATATTTGGGCATATGGAATATTGGTCTAGATCCTTCATTGTTTGAGTCCACAGTGCTCTCTGGATGTAGGTGGACTACAACTCCAAAATTCAAGGCCATGCCCACCAAACCCTTCTAGTGTTTTCTGTTGGTCGTTGGAGTCCTGTGTGGCAAGTTTGGTTCAATTCAATTGTTGGTGGAGTTCGGAATACTCTTTGATTGTAGGTGAACTATAAATCCCAGCAACTACAACTCCCAAATAACAAAATCATTTTTTTTTTCGTGCTGGTCACTCCTTGGGTTAGTAGGTGTCTTGTGACCAAATTTGGTGGCAATTAGTCCAGCGGGCTTTTGAGTTATGATGTCACTCAAAACAAACAAAGCATATATATAAACATACCCAGCTCTTTAAGCTGCTCCTCATAAGGCATGGTCTCCAGGCCTTTGACCAATTTAGTTGTCTTCCTCTGGACATGTCCCATCTTGTCAATATCCATTTTGAATTGTGGTGCTCAGAATTGGACTCAATATTCAAGATGAGGTCTGATAATAGAGAGGCACCAGGATTTCCCTTGAAGTAGGCACTAATGCAGCACAAAATCCCATTGGATTTTATACCTACAGTAACACATTGTTTGCTTATGTTCAACTTGCTGTTCATGAAGACTCCAAGATCTTTTTTCACATGTAATTGTTGTCGAGCCAGGTGCCACCCATTCTGTATCTTTGTATTTCATTTTTTCTGTCTAAATGTAGTATTTTAACATTTGTCCTTCCTGAAATTCATTTTGTTAATTCTGGCCCAGCTCTCAAATCTGTTACAGTAATTCTGAATTCTGATCCTGTCTTCTGGAGTATTAGCTATCCCTCCTAATTTGGTGTCATCTTACCCTAACCCTAAGCATGCCCTCTAAATCTTCATTCAAGTCATTAATAAAGATGGTGAACTTTGCAGCACTCCACTAGTCACTCTTTGCCAGGAGGAAGTGGAACCATTGGTGAGCACCCTTTGGGTTTAGTTGCTTAGCCAATGGCAGATTCACTTAACCCTCTCCCGCTGGCACCCATTGCTTCTCTGGTCGAGTGAAGAGAGAGGGGGTCAGAAGACAGTTCCATCATTCTCTCCTGCCTATGTCATCAGTTGCCCCCCCTGCACCGGCACCAACTTCTTCTCTGGTCCAGAGTGAAGGGGGGACGGGACAGAAGACCATTCCATCTTGGCTCCTGTGCTTTACTAATAATATAATATAATATATTGTATATTTATTTATTTAAAACATTTATATTCCATCCTTCTCACCCCGAAGGGGACTCAGAGCGGAGGACAGCATATATACGGCATACATTCAATGTCGGGATACAAATTCTTATATACATACATAAACATTAAAAACATTTATCAAAATATTAAAATACACAATTTAAAACCGTCCTAGTCATCTACGTCAAGTCTAATTGGCCTGGTAATATTTCCTATTGCTGCTTTATTGCCCTGTCCTGAAAGCTTGGTCCCACAGCCAAGTTTTTACCATTCTTCTAAAGGACAGAAGAGAGGTGGCCAACCTGCTCTCATCAGGAAGACAGTTCCATAGCTGGGGAGCAATCACCAAGAAGGCCCTGTCTCTCATCCCCACCAATTGTGCCTGTGACAATGGCTGGACGGAAAGCAGGGCCTCCCCGGAGGATCTTAATATCTGTGATGGTTCATAGGAAGAGATGCGTTCAGACAGGTAATTTGGGCTGGGGCCATTTAGGGCTTTATAGGCCAAAGACAGCACTTTGAATTGTGCCCAGTAGCAAACTGGCAGCCAGTGGAGCTGTTGTAACATAGGAGTTGTATGCTCCCTGTTTGCCGCCCCCAGTTATTAACCTGGCTGCCTCTCGTTGGACTATTTGAAGCTTCCGAGCAGTTTTCAAAGGCAACCCCACGTAGAGTGCATTGCAGTAGTCTATTCTAGATGCATGTAGCCGGGGGGGGGGCCTTGAGGGGCTTCACCCCCCCCCCCCCCCCCCAAAATTCTCATGGTGGTCCGCGAGAAGGCCTTACTGGTACATTATTTAAACTGTTATGTTTATTGATATCATGATCTGATCACCATGCTCAATATATCCCATATGCATGGGGGTATTGGGGTAACGATACAAAAGGTTTGCTAGGGTAGACCCTCTTTCCCTCAGACTCAGCCCCCCCCCGAACCAAACTCAGCCCCCCCCCCCCCCGAAACAAAATCCTGGCTACGGGCCTGGTTGCAGTAGTCTATCCTGGATGTAACAAGAGTGTGGACCACCGTAGCCAAGTCTGACTTCCCAAGGTACGGGCACAGCTGGTGCACAAGTTTTACTAATAATATTACAATATAATGGCATAGTACAATATAGTAATATATAATAGTGATGTTGTACTATGTTAATAATATAACAATATAATATATTGTATGTATATATCTGGTAAGCCGCTCTGAGTCCCCTTCGGGGTGAGAAGGGCAGCATATAGATGTCGTAAATAAATAAATAAATAAATAAATAGTAGCATTACCTAGGCCACATTTGACTAGTTTGTTTGCCAGAAGGTCACGGGGGACCTCGTCAAAGGCCTTACTGAAATCAAGATATGCTACATTCACAGCATTCCCTGCATATACCAAGCTTGTAACTCTATTGAAAAAAGAGGTAAGATTAGAAATCCATGTTGAAAGCCTCCAGAGAAGGAGATTCCACCAGCATATGCCAACAGCTTTTACCATCAGGAAGCTCTGCAATTTGAATACATTGCTCCATGTCCCTTTGGGAGGTTAGGAGGTGAGACCTGTCCCCATTTCTATATTAGGGTGGAAAAGGAGCTTCCAGGTGACTTATTTGCATTGCAGTGTTGCTTATGTAACAAAGTCAAGGAAAAAAACATCGTAAGCTTCTTTCATGATGCAGGAAAGGTGAACCGTTTTTTTCCATGGGAGTATATTAGATTAATTTATCATGACACTCATGTTTGCTTTGCTGAAGGAAAGATATTCCCAGATGTTTTCAAGGCAATTTTTGTTCATTATTGCAGACGGGTTTGTCGAGTGCCTTTCACTCTTTAAATTATAATATAAACTTACAATTAGAGCAGTAAACAGTGTCATAATACCATTGGTTTCGGTAATACAGTTCAGCACAGCATCTGATGGAATTTTAATTGACCGATTGCAATGTGCAAATAACAGAACAATGCTGAGCTATTTTAAGACCTTTTATTGATTGTTCAAAGAACAGATGCTCTTTTGTCTGCACTGCATTAAAAGAAATAAGCTTTATTTGTTCATATACAAAACTACATACTTTTAAATAAGTATCAGAAGACTTATCGGAAGATTTCAGTGTTACAGTACATTCTGTAGTGACTAAATTACGATTTTCAAGGAACCACTGTTTCAAGCAGTGAGTAGAGAAATAAATTGTTCATAAATAGCAAGTGGGAGGCTCAATTGAGTCACTGTACTGAGGAATATAAATACGATCAATATACAAAGGCCTTTTCAATACATTCTTCATCATTACCAATCATAATATTTCTGAATAGCTTAAAAGCATGTGAAAGCAGTCTGCTGTATTCGTAATAGCGAATCTCAGAGACAAATGCAAAAATCCTGTTGACTTTAAATTTTATTTCGAGGAAATACATTGGTAGCTTTGAAGGGTTTCTTTTTTATCATGACATATATCAATCATCCTCTGCAGCTGTAAAGAGATAGGTTGCAGCTTAGCAGATATTAGTGACAACAGTATTCTCACAATGACTATCCTAAATATGAATAGAAAGAGGACACCTGTCAAGCAATGAAAAATTAAAACTGACAGATACACACTTGGGTCGAGGGATGGGACAAATGACCAAACAGTATTTTGGAAAATAGAGCACAGTGAAGGCTATAGGGCCATAAACAATGATTTGATCAGATTGGTAACTGAAACTTAACATCCACTTGCGCTTGCTTTGCTAAGGTCACTATTTCAGAAAGTTTCACAACCTGGAAGACAAAAAAAAAACACAACATGATATATCTAATAGCAAATAAAGGTAAAGTAATAAATTACCAGATCCAACATGTGTTATATAAACATAGATGAGCCTATGAAAATAAAATCAGAGGCTCTGAAGACCTAGACCTTTAATAATAATAATAGTGATAATAATAATAAAACTTTATTTATATACTGCTCTATCTCCCTGAGGGACTCAGAGCGGTTCCCAGGTAAAAATCACAGAACATACAAAGTAAAAACAACATAACCATAAGATTAACAAAACAAAATATGCATAAAAATTGTTGCCATAACACACATATATTAAAAGTAATCCTGCCTGTTCAAGGCAATTTTTAAAAAAATTAAAAGGCCGGGCCAAGATTTGTGCAAGCCCAAAAATTCTAAGGGGCCCGGGAATTGGCAGGCAACAATAATATTAGATATGGGTCTGTAGCTGTTCATTCTGGGGCCGACTAGAGGAAATGATCTGGGTAATTGGTAGGAAGAATAAGGCCGTATTCGGCAATGTATAAGACTGAGTTAGAACTGGCCATTTTCAAAGGCTTGTTGAAACCACCAGGTCTTCAAGCTCTTACGAAAGGAGGGGAGGGATGGGGCCTGTCTTATTTCCCTTGGAAGGGCGTTCCAGAGGTGGGGGGCCACCACTGAGAAGGCCCTCTCTCTCGTCCCCACCAACCACACTTGAGACGGTAGTGGGACCAAGAGGAGGGCCTCCCCGGAAGATCTTAGAGTTCATGCCGGTTCATAGAAGGAGATGCGATCGCGGAGATAGGCGGGGCCCGAACTGCCTATCTCTTTATAGGTCATGACCTGCACTTTGAATTCGGCTCGGCAACTTATTGGCAGCCAATGAAGCTGTTTTAATAGGGGTGTTGTATGCTCTCTATAGTTTGCTCCAGTAAGGAGCCTGGCCGCCGCCCGTTGTACCAGTTCAAACTTCCGAGCCATCTTCAAGGGCAGCCCCACGTAGAGCGCATTGCAATAGTCCAGTTTGGATGTAACCAAGACGTGGACCACCCTGGCCAAGTCAGACTTCATGAGGTATGGCCGTAGCTGGCGCACAAGTTTGAGTTGTGCAAAGGCCCTCCCAGCCACCGCTGACACCTTTCATGTTGGTGGACTCTTGCAGAACACAACATTTATATCCTCGTGGCAGACTTACTTACTTACTTATTTATTTACATTTCTACCCTGCCTTTCTCCACCCCAGAGGAAACTCAAGGTGGCTTACACTTAGGCAATTATTTGATGCCTTCAAATGCAATGTACAGTTAAAATAAACATTTAAATATAATTATAAAATACCTTAAAACATTTAAACATATAAAACAATTTTAACTACATTATCCAAATTCATAGTCTGAGCCATTCCAATATTTACTGCACATAAATCCATATTTATCTATTTCACAAGATCTCCAAAGGCTTGAGCAAAAAGCCACATTTTTACTTTCTTGAGGAAGGTCAGGAGGGAGGGAGCTGATCTAATATCCGGGGGGGGGGGGAATTCCACAGCCAAGGGGGCCATCACTAAGAAGAACCTATCTCTTGTCCCCAACAGTTGCACCTGCAAAGGAGCTGGGACCAAGAGCAGGGCCTCCACAGACAATCTTAAGTTTCAGGCAAGGGCTGTACCACCTTGCCTAGAAGGAAATTTCTGATATCAGCTTCACCAGGCAGGAGACCATGGGCAACATCAAAGTCTTGATTTTTTCCACATGCTCTGCCCATCACCTTTGCCTGAAAGTCCTTTTGGGGAAACTCCTTCAAGGAGAGAGGCAAGGGCCATTTCTTCAATTACTGAATCTGTATTGGGTCTTGGTTAATCCACATAGGATCATAGAGTTGGAAGAGACCTCGTGGGCCATCCCATCCAATCTCCTGCCAAGAAGCAGGAAAATCGCATTCAAAGCACCCCCAACAGATGGTCATCCAGACTCTGTTTAAAAGATGGAGCTTCCACCACACTCTGGGGCAGAGAGTTCCACTGCTGAACAGCTCTCACAGTCAGTAAGTTCTTCCTTATGTTCAGGGGGAATCTCCCTTCCTGTAGTTTGAAGCCATTGTTCCGCATCCTAGTCTCCAGGGCAGCAGAAAACAGGCTTGCTCCTTCCTCCCTATGACTTCCCCTCACCTATTTATACATGGCCCTCATCATGTTTCCTCTCAGCCTTCTCTTCTGCAGGCTAAACACGCCCAGCTCTTTAAGTCGCTCCTCATAGGGCTTGTTCCCCAGACCCTTGATCATTTTAGTTGCCCTCCTCTGACACATTCCAGCTTGTCAACATCTCCCTAAAATTATGGTGCCCAGATTTGGACACAGTATTTCAGGTGTGGCCTGACATTCATTATTTGCTTTTTAAAACTGTAGTTGTGGAGGGGGTACCTCCACATTCGTACGGGGAGATACCGTATATACTTGAGTATAAGCCGACCCGAATATAAGCCGAGGCACCTAATTTTACCACAAAAAACTGAGAAAACAGATTGACTCGAGTATAAGCCGACGGTGGGAAATGCAGCTGCTATGGGTAAATTGCAAAATAAAAACAGATACCAATTAAATTACATTAATTGAGGAATCCATAGGTTATGTATTTTTGAATATTTACAAAAATGGTGATTTAAGATAAGAATGTCCAACTCTGATTAAATTATTATTTACCTTCTTCAATGTAAATGTGCTTATGTATCCTTCCAATAATAATGAGAGTAAAATAATAAATGTAATAACAACAATAATAAAGAGTAAAATAATGAATGTAGCAGTAACAACAATTATACAGTAAAACAATTAATGTATAATAATAGAGTAAAATGGTAAATGTAATAATAATAAATATAATAAAATAATAAATGAAAATAATAATAACAGAGTAAAATAATAAATAACCTTGACTCGAGTATAAGCTGAGGGCGACTTTTTCAGCCTAAAAAAGGGCTGAAAAACTAGGCTTATACTCGAGTATATACAGTAAGCTAAGGAAAAAAGAAAAAATCGTGGGTTATACAGTTTTTAATATACTCCTCCCTGCTCTGGCCCCTCTTCCAATGCTCAGCTACCAGGCTGCTCTTCTACTATGATTTCTAGCCTAACAATACAGTTATTTGATGCTCTCAAAGCAAGACCATGTTCATTCATGGTTTGATGGCAATAGAAAAGGCATGGGATCCTAGACTGGAACCTCAAGCAAGATCACAAAGGTTTGCAAGGAGAAATAGTTTCAATATTAAGACATACAAAAGGAGTAAAAGTAGATGAAAGCCTTTTTAGATTCCTTTCTAGAAGTAGAGAGGCTTTTAAAATTTTAATCGAAGATATTCTCAAGACCAGCATTAGGAAAGAGGTAAGTGCCCTGGAAGGAAAATAATGGGTGGATTGGAATAAAGATACTAATGGCAGAGTTCAAGCCAGTGATCTGAGAGGCCTAGCTCCGTCAGCAACTGATCTGACAGAGAAAGACATAGCACCTTTTTATCAGCTAAAGATCCAAATGTTGACTTTAATCAATCATTTGAAGACCACTGTCCAAAGACAGCAGTGATGATGAATGCAGACGTTTTGTTTTCTGGGGGATACCTGGGGTATACTCATCATTATGCATAAAAGCTCCTGAGAGCAAAGCTAAGATGGCAGCATCACTGAATATCAAGACTTGCATAGTATAGGTTGATCAAAACAGAAATAAATTCTGAGCCACACCGACTGCTGTCTTGCTTTGTATTGACTTTCAGTTTTGACGAGCTTGACATGGGGCAGCAGAAAGGTTACTGTGCTGGTTCAAGCTCAAGAAATATAGAGGCTCCTCTGGGAGCTATTTCGTCCTTAGGCATTGATTCAGAGAAGATTTGGCTTGAGTGAGAAGAAGCAGTCACTGCTACTAAAACAAAAATAAAACACACTGCTGTTGGTTAAGTCTGTCAAGGGCTCCTGGTCAAGCCATCCAACCTCTTCCAACCTCTGTGAAACATGGACCGTCTACACATATCACTTTCGACATCCGGAAATATTCCATCAGTTTTGTTTTTGAAAAAATCTTGCAAATCTCTTCGGAAGAAGACAGCCAGATAAATGTCAGGGTTCTGGAAGAAGCAAAGATCACCAGCACTGAAGTGATGATCCTCTGCCATTAACTTTGATGGACTGGCCACATTTTCCGAATGCCTGATCATTGTCTTCCAAAGCAGTTAACTCTACTCTTAACTCAAGAACAGAAAATGGAACGTCAGTGGACGGCAAAAGAGATTTAAAGATGGGCTTAAAGCTAACAATAGCGCCTTGAGACACCGATAAGGCTGAGAAAGGCATTATACAAGTATAGTAAATAAATAATAGTAAATAAACCTTTTAAAATGTTAGCTGGGAAGTCCTAGCCCTTGAGTGTTCTACCTGGAGGTCAGCTATTACCAGCAACGCTATGGATTTTGAGGAGGCATGAATTGAGGGTGAAAGCAAGAAACCTGCCAAGTAGAAGGTGCATCCAGCAAATCCGCCTTCCTTCCGGAAATTTATCACTGTGAAAGACCATGCGGATCCAGACTAGGTCTTCACAGTCATTTATAGACCCACTACCAAGACTCTTCCTCTGGAAAACACTGGTCATGAGTGATTGCCCATGACAACGATGACAAGAGCTGTTTGGACTCTTTGTTTGTCTGTGTTCTTTTTTGAACTTGTTAGGAAAATCTACGTTCTTGGAGATGAGCAGGAACCATTTGAAAAAGAGTTTTCAACATATTTGGCTTTCTGGTTTTTTCTTCCTTCTTAGAAAAACTCACCAGTAAGTTTTATTGATTCTGAGTGTCTAATGTTTTTCCTTCCCTCAAAAAAGTATCCAGATTGTCTTTGTCCCCCTTCCTGTTGACCTTCTGGCAGCAAGGTAAAACATCCTTATTCAGGCAGGCTTTTATAGCACGAGGTTTTTAGTTGCAAGTCAGGGGGTGTTGTGATTTTAGCTATAAATAGGTTCTTAATTGGTTTTAAGGGTTTTAACAGTTTATATTTAATACTGTTCCATTTAATTCCATTTTAATGTTTGTATGTTTTTAGGTTTTACTTGTATTGTATTGGTTTTGTTGTGAGACACTTTGAATGTTCAATATTAATTGCCAATTTCACACTACAACAAGAAATCCGTAGCAAAAATATGGAAAAACGTGTTAGCTTACCATTTTAGCAGCTTCATCCAAATCATCACAAGCAAGTATTTTCAGACCACTGTCTGTTATTAATGCTTTGGCATCATCAACTCGTGTACCTGCAAAGTCAAATTAAAGATTAACAAATCACTGTGCTCAGTGTCATTTGAGACACTCAACCCACAACAAAACAAGGTACAAGAAAAATACCAGAACGTCATCTGGAGAAGCAGCTGCAATACTCTGGTTTTCAGAACGTATGTTTTCAATAATGTACAACTCAGGTGGTCCCATCTGATTTTGCCCAGCCCTTGTTAGTACTCAGGTGGGAGACTGCCATGGCATACCAGATGCTGTAGGCAATATTTCAGAGGAAAGAACAGGCAAAACTACCTAAGTATTTCTTACCTAAAAAATCTTATGAAATCCATGGGGTTGCAATAAGTTTTATCTCGCCTGAGTTTTTAATTAGTTTTAACCAGTTTGTCCTTTTAATTACTACATGTTGCCCACCCATTATTATTGTGCTTGTGCATATTCTTTTTTATATATTGTTATGTATTCATGTGTTTTATGTCACTATGATGTTATTGTTTGTTGTTTGCATTTTCGGTTTGTGTTTTTGGTTTTTCTTTATTGTAATTGTCATTTGGGCTTGGCCTCATGTAAGCCGCTCCGAGTCCCCATTGGGGAGATGGTGGCGGGGTAATAAATAAAGATTATTATTATTATTATTATTATTATTATTATTATTATTAAGTTGACAGGCAACTTAAAGGTACATACACACAGACATGTGAAAATGTATTGTAAAGCTTGAGAGAAAATTAGTTACCTATAGGCAACAGCTCTGTTAAGATTGGACTTCTGAATTAGTTTCATGACTACCATACATTGAAAGTTAAGGCACCTGGTTCCCTGTTATCCCAATCCAGTTTGCTGGAACATATCAACATTTAGCAAGCCCTTCATCTACTAAAGTTTCTCAAGTCGCTCCTGACACGACAAAAAAAATCTACTAAACATATAGGCAGAATAATCAGGACAATTGGTAATTTTATGTAGAAACTTGGATTCGATATCTTGGGATATTTTCCCTGAAGAGAACTGCAATTGTGAAAATAAGATACTATATAAATCACTCAAAAATTTTACAAACACAGTTTGAGTATCCCTTATACAAAATGCTTCGGGCCAGAAGTTTTCCGTGATTTTGGAATGTTGCATACTTGTACACACACACACACACAAATATGTGTGTGTGTATCTCTTGGAGATGGGACTCATGTCTAAACACACTGATATTTCACACATAGCATGAATGTAACTTTATACACACTATTTTAAAATAATTTTACACACACAATAACGTTTGTGTATTTTGAACCATTAGAAAGCAATTATGTCAGTACGTCAGTTACCCATGTGGAAGAGGTTGGATTTTGGAGTATTTCAGATTTTGGATAAGAGATGCTCAAGCTGTACTTTTGAGTCATTGTCCCCTGCATTTTTGTCCTTAAGCATAAACTCTACAACACAAGGCAGATATTAAGGTTCTCATATACAAAGAAAATCTAAACCAGTGGTTTCCAACCTTTGCGCCTCCAGATTTTTTGGACTTCAGCTCCCAGAAATACCAGCCAGCTTACCAGACTGTGGGTAAGGACAGTTCCTTACCAAATGTGGGAACTGAAGTCCAAAATATCTGGAGGCACAAAGTTTGGGAACTCCTGATCTAAACCTTGAGTGTAGCCTTCAACAGCATAAGCTGTGTTGAGCACAGACACACAAAAGATCTGCTTACAAAAAAAGCCAAGGTTCACTACCTGTGGGCACCTTGTTATACACACATTTATATTCAATAGAAAATGGATGGGGGCATTAAACACTGCAGAGGAAGGGAGGCCTACCAGTGATATGAATAATATGTTTAAGAGATCGTGGTACTGATGTGGAAAGCAAATTACAGAATATAATGACCACTGAATTCAATAATATGCGGAATGCTCACCTTGTAACCGTACAACAATAGGTATTTTCAGTTCCAAATCTTTTACTGCCATAATTATACCTTGTGCAATCACATCACACCGCATAATGCCTCCAAAAATATTTACCAGAATTGCCTGCACCTGTGTGAAGAAGCATATAGGATTGTAAGAACACATTTTAAGCAATGAATCTCTGCAACAGAAGATTAATAGTTTTCCTATTTAAGGAAAATAGGAACACAAACACAGGGATGGCATGAACTAGAGAGTAGATGTAATTAATATACTAAGATGCTCAGGGCCTGTACAATAGAATGTAGGAACACAATTAAAGACAGGTATAGCTCAATTAGTATAGGTGGTTCTGGGCTTAACTTCTTGAATAGAAACTGGTACCAGAGGTAGAAATAACATAGAAAGAACACACACAAAAACTCATTTCTTCACACTTTTCATTCAAATCCAAAATTATGAACATTTGAAATGAAACACCCAAGTCAGGGAAACCTTACATAATCAATCAAAAATTGGAAAGTTTCAAAAATGCACTTTGGGATACTTTTTTAAAAACTTTCAACAGCTTCTGTTTTCTTACGATTTCCATTTTGATGGCAAAATGTATAGATCTAAGCTTTCCAACATGCCAGAGAAATTGGTTCGTCTGCTTTCCTATTTTCTTTCTGTTTTGCTGTTCACACATGCTCAGTAAGTGAATTTGGAGGCAGCTGCTTCTTGTGCATGTTACATATAAGCTTCCACAACAACAAGAGGATCACTAAGAGTGGATTCCATTCTTTCTTAGGACTACTTTATTGCATAGTTTATTGCCCCCCCCCCCCCCCCCGCAATCCAATATGGAAAGTCATTCTCCCAATAACAATGCTGCAAAAAAATGCAACTGGAAAGAAGACAAAGCTGAGTCTAAGCTATGTTCCAATAAAAGGACTTTGTAAAAAGATCTTCATCAGATGCTTTGTTAACCAAAATACATCTGTATTTGTATAAATGTAACATATAACTTTAATGGATGAATTTCAGTTTATTCTGCCTGATGTGGACATGGTGCTTAAAGCAGTGAGGCCCATTATCTGTTTGTGCTCCTAGACAAATGGTACAGCAAATTGGTTAAAGCTAAGGAGGCCAGCATCTGGGTGTACGCCAAGAAACCTTATGCACACAGTTGAGTTTCAGCATGAAAAAAGAGATGCCTCCATGATAAATAAAATATAGTGGTATGCATTGTAAGTTTTCTTCACTGAAAAATTCAGCTTTCATCCCCATTTAAATGCACTATTCCCACTGTGGAAATAGCAGATCATCTTGATGCAGAACTAAACTCATCAGTGGTGATCAAACAAGGGAAAACAAACCTTCTTAAGTCTTTTTTTTTTTTCCCTGACTTTCACACACACATCCCTTGTGTGGAAAAATTGGAAATATTCAATAAAACACATTCAGGAAAAAAAATCACAAGAGGACAAACTGACCAATTATAAAATCAAGGCTACATTCCTGCATGTATTTACTAGTAAGAAAGTTCACTGAACATTTTGAGACTTACTTCTAAGTAAAGGCCTACAGGGCTCTGCTTTATATAATCAGCATATTCCTTGATAAAAGAATGGCATTTTCTTATATAAAATATCTTATTTCTAATTCCAGTAATTACGTTATACTGAGAAATATGAAGATACATGCAGAATTCTAAAGAATAGTAGTTATTATTTATTTATTTACTAGCCTTCCCCTGCCACACATTGCTGTGGCCCAGTCTGTGTATATGTGTTTTGTGTGTGTATATGTGTTTTGTGTGTGTATATATTTGTGTATATGTGTATATATGTGTGCTTGCGTATATATATGTGGTTTTGCTTTTGTATATGTGTATGAACGTATGTGTATATGTATATATGGTTTATTTGGGGGGGGGGGGTTGAGTCCGTTCTACTGGGTTTTTGTGTGTTTTTAGGGGTGATGGTCACTTGTTGGCCTGATAGGTGTATTGTGTCCAAATTTGGTGTCAATTTGCCCAGCGGTGTTTGAGTTCTGTTAATCCCACAAATGAACATTACATTTTTATTTATATATATATTTTTTTAAATTTTTAACCCACCCTCTCTCCCCGAAGGGATTCAGGGCGGCTTCCATAGACAAAAATGGCTGTGCTCCTACCTTTTTATCTGAAGTAATAAGTCTAAAGGCCTCGGTCACCTGCTGTGCTGTAGCACCACCACCAACATCAAGAAAATTTGCTGGAGTGCCTCCATGAAGTTTAATTATATCCATGGTGGCCATTGCAAGACCAGCTCCATTTACTGCAAGAAGAAAAGAACAAGAGTGAGTGAGGACATAAGAAGATCACAGATCCCATCACCATCACTGGCACTATGATGTTTAAACAAGGCAAACATACCCAGACATCCAATGTTGCCATCTAATCCTATATAATTAAGATCAGACTTTGCTGCATCCCTGTCTCTTTCATCCTCTTGGGTCCAGTCTTGCAAGTCGAAGATTTTCCGCTGACGATAAGCTGAATTACTATCGAAGTTTATCTTTGCGTCCATACACATCACTTGGAAGACAAACACATTGCATTTAGATCACTTAACACTGAGGATACTAATTTCTCTGAAACTCTACAACTAGGTTCTGAAGTAGAAGCAGTTATGTAACCCATTCTCGTCAATTGTCATAACAATGCACTTCATATACAGGATGAAGTTACACACAACAATATTTTATACAAGAACTCACACAGTATCTTAACCTTGCCCAAATGCAGTGCCTGTGGTCACTGTGGGACCTGCAAGGGGAACTACTGTATTTACTCGAATCTAACGCTCACCTTTTTGGGTAATCATCTTCCCAAAATTAAGGTGCACGTTAATTTGTGTAATATGGTAATTTTAGTGCTGAGCTAAAGCAAAAGGGGAAGCTGCTTCAGGAGCACCTGGAGCTTCTATCTGAGGGATGTCATCTGTAATTTGATTGTTATGGTTCAATGCTATGTAATCCTGGGATTTGTAGTTTGGTGAGGTACCAACATTCTTTGGCAGAGAAAGCTCAAGGCCTTGTATATATCAAGGCCTTGTATATCAAGGCTTAACACCTTCAAAGCCTTTGGATTGCTCTCCCCAAGGAAATACCCTTACTTTCTTCAGTCTAAACTTTTATGTTTAGGCAAGCCTTCAGTGAAGAAACCTAGACTGAAGATTTTTATCGACTGGAGAGAAGTGAAATATGATCTGACAAGGCTTCACACTAACGCAGTGGTTCTCAACCTGTGGGTCCCCAGATGTTTTGGCCTTCAACTCCCAGAAATCCTATTAGCTGGTAAACTGGCTGGGATTTCTGGGAATTGTAGGCCAAAACACCTGGGGACCCACAAGTTGAGAACCACTGCACTAACGTATATTGTTTTTAAATGCATATTTATGTTTTATTGGTTGTTTATATGTGTTTTAATTACTGTTGATTAGTATAGTATTTAATATGTTGGAAGCAGCTTTGGGGCTCTTTGTGGGTGAAAAGCAGGATATACAAAAAGATGGATTATCATTATTGTTGTAAAAGTACAGCTCCATGACTCTGTAGCATTGAACAAAGGTAGTTAAAATAGATTTATTCTACAACATAGATACATCTCAAGGTTTTCATTTCCACTGATTTTCAAACAGAATAGCCCTCTCAGGCCTTCCATCAAGTTACAACATACATTGCTGTCTAGAAAAAAAAGCTACAGTTCAGTTACCACATGATACAATATGTTTTTATATTGTATAGTGGTGGTGACTATCTTTTTTCCCAAAGAAACCTAGAGAAATCCTTATGGTTTAGCAGTTGTAGATTTTTATAGGAAGTGCCATCTCCAATGTGCAGCCTGGGGTGGTATAGTCCACTCATCTCCTTACTTTGTTACATGTATTGGTCACACCTTGTACTGGATTTTTATTTTTTTTCCTTCATAGAATCACAAAGCTAACAGGGATTTCATGGCTCGTCCTGTTCTAATGACATAGTAATTCACCAGAGGTGCTTTGAATGTGATTTTTCTGCTTCTTGGCAGGGGGTTAGACTGGATGGCCTACGAGGTCTCATCCAACTGAATAATTCTATGATTCTAAGCAGAGCCCCCGGTAGCGCACTGGGTTAAACCACTGAGCTGCTAAATTTGTTGACCGAAAGGTCACAGGTTCGAATCTGGGGAGTGGTGTGAGCTTCCACTGTCAGCCCCAGCTTCTGTCAACCTAGCAGTTTGAAAACATGCAAATAGGTACCGCTTCAGTGGGAAGGTAATGGCGCTCCATGAAGTCATGCCGACCACATGACCTTGGAGGAGTCTATAGCCAACACCAGCTCTTCGGCTTAGAAATGGAGAGTCGGACATGACTGGGCTTAATGTCAGGGGAAAACATTTACCTTTATCTTAAGCAGATTCACTACTGCACCACTGATAGATGGCTATCCAACCTTCACTTCTGAATTCTAAGGGAAGCAGAAGAACTTCCAAACAATTCTCTGGATGACAGTTGGCAGTATTCAGATGCCAACCAGTGCTGGTAGACCTAAACCATTGTTACTTGTACTAACAATATAGGGAAATCCAAGATACTTCCATGATGTTTAGTGTAGATTTGTCACTCAATTACAAGTGGTCCATAAGTCATTACAGACATTATTCCATTAGAGAATACTTTACCAATCCCTGTGGAATCTTCAACCATGGGGTTAATTTCTACCATTGTGGCATCAAATTTAATGAAGAGGTTGTAGATCTTAATCATATTTTCAGCTGCTTCGTTTACTAAATTAGCAGGAAATCCCATTTTCTTGGCCAGCTAAAAACAAAAAACAGTAAGTTAGGAGGAATCCTATGAGCAAATACACTAGACATATAAAATGGTAGAAGGGGAGAAAAAAGAGAAGTGTTGCAGGATCTTTAGGGCTCATTGGTTTTTATCAACTTTCATGGCTATACACCTACTTATATTACATGTAATTTACATATAATTTACATATAATTATGTGTAATATTACTAATAATATTACAATATAATGTTATAGTACAATATAGTAATATTTAATACTGATATTGTACTATGCTAATAATATAATATATTGTATGTATATATATATATCTTGTAAGCTGCTCTGAGTCCCCTTCAAGGTGGGAAGGGCGGCATATAAATGTTGTAAATAAATAAATACTTCTTCGAATGAAACACAGGGCCCTTCCACACAGCCATATAACTCATAATATCAAGATAGAAAAACCCACAATATCTGCTTTGAACTAGGTTATCTGAGTCCACACTGCCATATATCCCAGTTCAAAGCAGATAATGTGGGATTTTATTCAGCAGTGTGGAAGGGGCTGGAGTGATAATGAATGCTTAGATAAAAGACATATTTGTATGGAACGTAATAGGTTCCAGAAAGATGCAAATCACGTTCCTTACACTAAATTTTAAAAGACTGAGTGAGACGATTATAGACTTTTCAGAGTTTTGTAGTGGCCAGGCAATAAATCTCCTTACCAAAAGTCAGTTTATCTGGGTACAAAACTCTCTGAGAAGATTGTTTTTGTCATAGGTACAGCAGAAAGGCACTGTTTTTGTTCATATCTCTGCTAACTGAAAGGGATTTATTGATATAGTGTAATTCAATTAAGCAGTTTTGCTTTCTAGTCTTCCATTTTAACTTCCTTGTTGAAGGACTGCAATCTATAAATCACTAATTGTGTGACATGGCAATGACCAAAAACCAGTTGCAGATCATTTCAACCTTTGTGGACATATAGTAAAGGATCTTCTCAGGGAGTTTTCAACTTTGGGAAACTGACTGTTGAACACCAGATTCCTTGCTTTCACACATAGACACTAACTGACAGAGGGGAAACAATCAAGGACATCTAATCACCTCTCAACAAAAGATTGCCCCAGGCACTGCCAGGTCATCAAATGCTAATCAAGGTGGTCAGTTGAAACATTCACACCTAGCTCCAACAGACAGGAGTCCTTTGTCCCACCCTGATCATTCCACATATATATAAGCCCATTTTCCTAGTTCCAACAGACCTCACCATCTCTGAGGATGCTTCCCATAATTTATTTATTATTTACCGTATTTATATACCGCCTTTCTCAGCCCGAAGACGACTCAAGGCGGTTTACATTCGGCACAATTCGATGCCCCCACCAACATAAAATGTAATTAAAAGCATCTAGGATATAATATAAAATACAAAACCAATAAAAACATAAATCCTCAGAGTCTCATTACTGAAATCATTTTCCAGTCGCATCGTCCAGTCATTCTAAATTTATCTGTTATACTGCATTTGTAAATGCTTGCTCAAAAAGCCAGGTTTTAACTTTTTTATGAAATGTTAGGAGGGAGGGGGCCAATCAGATATCTCTAGGAAGGGCGTTCCACAGCCAAAGGGCCACCACTAAGAAGGTGCTGTCTCTCGTTCCCGCCAAACGACTTTGTGAAGAAGGCGGGACCAAGAGCAGGGCCTCCCCAGATGATCTTAGATGGTTCATAAGGAGAGATACATTTGGGCAGGTAAGCTGGGCCAGAACCGTTTAGGGCTATAAACATGCTTTATGCCCAAGGCCTTAATACCACCTGATATTGCACCCAAATAACTGGTTCTATAGACACAGAAGTTTACACAAAAATAAAAACCACTTTGTCTTAAAGGGTGTTGCCACTTTCCTTCCTCCCTCTTTTTTATACTGCAAGAGACTAACATAGATGCTTCAAGCATCTTATCTACTTTTGCTTATCCTGGCATATTCCAATCTGCCTTTCCTGTATTATAGTCTTCTAAAGGTACTGAAAAGCAGCATACTTTTATAAAGGAAAAGACTCTAAGATCAGTACCGATCCTCCAAGTCACTGATTAGCTAAAATGGCTCTGAAATGTACAGAACTTGATTTAAAAACAGACCTGTTTCAATATTTAGGAAAACCTTCAGCATGTCCTGATACATTCTTTTAATTCAAAAGTCTATCAGGATAGAAATTGTAACTGAGCAAAAAGTGCACAGTTCAGTACCCTGACAGCTTGTTCCTTCTGGATGCCTTCCACAATGTCAACTGGTTCCTTGGCAATAGCATCAGGATTCTCAGCAGCCACATCTTCAATATTGACGCCACCTTGAGCACTGCCAATGAGGACAGGGCCCTAAAAATGAGGAATAACATTTTAGCAATACAATTTGTATACGATGCCCCAAAAGTAAGGTAATCATATAACATTTATGAATTAACTAGAGAAACAAAGTACTGGAAAAAATGTGAATCTCACTGCCTTGAATCTCACAGATATGTTTTTCAGGAAGAATTAAATAATGTGCATGTTAGAGCAACACTTAAGCAAAAAAATAATTCATGGTACGTCTTCTGTTATATAACTGAAGTCTTTTGTTAGTTTAATAAGAGGTGGGAAAATGTGGTTGAACAGAACAGCAGGTTTTTTCCTCTGGGATGTTCTGGGACATCCACAGGCTACCAAAACTACAAAGCAAAAGAAGTGCCTGAAAGTCTGCTTCTTGATTAAAAAAAACCCAACAAATTATGCAGAACGTCACCATAAGTTATTTAAAAGGTAAATAGCCACTTCTGGAGGTGCTCAGGAGCAGCAATCGGCCTTGTTGCCACTAAAATGGCAGCCATGGGGAGTTGGGACGACAAAAACAGAACTCAAGAACAGAACTTTGCCCATTTCTAATTTAATAAAAGGCAACCAAAATTGTTGTAATGGTCCAGCATCACCTCAGGCCAGAATTCCAAGTAGCTTCTAGAGATTTTTGTTTCATGCAAAAATGATTTTGCGCTAAGCCTTTCCCTTCCCCACATCCAAATTCTCCGTCATTCATGATCACCATCTGACAGGGAAGGTTATAGAACAAATATATTCTGAAAAAAATTGGAATGTATGGACATATTTTAAAATATTATTTTGTAAAATCTTAAGTCATGCACTGGTTAAAATCTAATGGTTTTAAGAAGGTAAGAGCTAGGTCACTATAAACACGAATTATTGTCTTGATGATTTCTCTCCAAAGATCATTTTCCAAAGCTGAAGATTTTTTAAAAAAAATAACACCTGCTACTGATGATTGTATGGTATTCCTTTGCCTTTTCTCTCAAATGGGTCTCCTGCCAAATCCCAACTACATAAAGTGTGCAAATAAGAAACAATTTGAGGATTTAAATGCCATTGCAGAAAAACCTCTAGAAATCCCTCAATGCATGCCTCGATCTATATAAATAAAAATGTAATGCTCGTTTGAGGGATTAACAGAACTCAAAAACCACTCAACGAATTGGCACCAAATTTGGACACAAGACACCTAACAACCCAATGTATGTCTTTCACTCAAAAATTGATTTTGTCATTTGGGAGGTGTAGTTGCTGGGATTTATAGTTCACCTACAATCAAAGAGCATTTTCTGACCAACAGAAAATACTGGAAGGGTTTAGTGGGCAGTGTCCTTTGGTTTTGGAGTTGTAGTTCACCTACATCCAGAGAGCAATGTGGACTCAAACAATGATGGATCTGGACCAAACTCTATACAAATACTCAATATGCCCAAATGTGAACACTGGTAGAGTTTGGGGAAAAGAGAATCTTGACATTCGGGAGTTGTAGTTGCTGGGATTTATAGTTCACCTACAATCACAGAGCATTCTGAATCCCGCCCATGATAGAAGTGGGCCAAACCTCCCACACAGAACCCCCATATGGGCCACAGTGGGCCACAACAACGCGTGGCAGGGGACGGCTAGTGTTACATAAATTATATGTGTATGCTAAGGAACATTTCCCTTGTCACTAGGCACATTTACACTTATATCAAATTAAACAAGCAACTGCATCATATTGTAGAAAATAGCACTGGTAACGTCTGACACAAACTAGTGTGTTCAGAAACCAAGTTAATTATTTCTACATTGTTCTAGCTGACTTAAAAAAAAAAAACAAGAGTTGAGAACAAGACACACACTATCCATTGCAAATTTCCAGCCATAATAAAAACTATGTGCCCTGTAAGGAAGCATTTGTCTTCAAGATTATAGATGAACTTGCCTGAAATGATCGTTCCATAGTTATTGCAAAATAATACTCTCTTCTGGGATATCTGCGCTCACAGATAAATACTTGATTGCATATCCTGCCCTTTTCACCCGTCTGCTTTGTGAATAGCTTTTTCCCAATCATTCTTGAGGAAATCTCTCGTGCTTCTTCTGGCCTGAAATAAAAACAGGGTTCAAAACAGGACCATTTAAAAACAATAGATCACAGTATCTATTTTATTCTACCATATTCTACTACATGTTGACCATTTTCTATCCAAAATGCTTGGGACAAGTTTTCAGATTTTTAAAAGATTATGGAATACCTTTATTTCTATGTAAGTACATAATGAAACATTTTGGAAGCAGCACCCCAGTCTAAGCATGGAATTCATTTATATTTCACCTGAAGATAACTTTATATACAGCATTTTTAAAATAATTTTGTGCATGAAACAAGGTTTGGGTACAATGAACCACCTAAAAGCAAAGACAGATAACTTTGGATTTTGGAGTATTTCAGATTTTGAAATTCTTGCTAAGGGGTGCTCAACTCATATATAATTATGGTTTGCAATTGTGCTATACTAATCATGATAGCTTTACATTATCTTTGGTATCAGAGGAAACATGACTCTGAGTATGAGTTGCTGGTCAACATGGATGCATCCATATCCTACTTGTGGGTTTCCCAAAGGCATCTGGTTGGCCACTGTGGGGATGTGGAATTGAACAAGATAAGCCTTTGGTATGGAGCCCCCAGTAGCGCAATGGGTTAAACCCTTGTGCCAGCAGGACTGTTGACTGAAAGGTCGGAGGTTCAAATTCGGGGAGTGGGGTGAGCTCCCATCTTTCAGCTCCAGCTTCTCATGTGGGGACATGAGAGAAGCCTCCCACAGGATGGTAAAACATCTGGGTGTCCCCTGGGCAATGTCCTTGCAGATGGCCAGTTCTCTCACACCAGAAGCAACTTGCAGTTTCTCAAGTCATGCCTGACACACACAAAAAAGCACCTTTGGTTTGATCAAGTATTTATGTTCTAACATCAAAAAATAAAATAAAAATTCAATGTTTTACCTAGAATTACAATTAATGTTTCAAATTATTTAGATTCTAAAAGACAGATGTGCTGGTCTAATTTGAGTAAATGTACATAATCTCATGAGCTAGTATTTAGTTTATTCATTTGTTCAACTTACGAAAAAACTATTTTCACTCCTCCTTTTAGGCCACCTTCAAATGTTCCTTTTCCTCTGCCACCAGCTAAAACTTGTGCCTTCACAACAAGGTCTTTTGTACCTGAAACATAATGGGGATAGGCAGGTACAGTTTTAAATTAAATATTTTTATAGCAGCATAAAAGATTTTGCCTTGTGACAATAGATTTAGGTTAATGCAGATAAGCAAATATCCTGAGAGGAAAACAAAGAAACAGATGTGTTGCCAGGCACATTCTCCAAGAATTCAAAAAATATGACGTTAATTGCTTTTACGTTTCACTTGTATTTTCTGATGAGTTTTTTTTTTGGGGGGGGGGGAGTACACACAAAGTAATGATTGTCTAATCCACTACTGAATGTAGATGTTCAAACAGTGAAAATCTAAACATTTCCTGTACTTTTCTAAACCTAACTGCATTGGGAAGAAGGATCGTTTCAGAGTGAGATCACAAGATGCCTTACTATTAACTTTGATAACCTTGAAGGTTATAAATATCCATAGCACATTTTTTAAGTAAAGCAAGTGTCAGTAACATAATACCCAAAAGAAAATCTAGGTACATGTTTAAGGACTTCACAACTGCTGAACCACTTAATAACAGTTTCATTACAGAGCTAAAAACATGTACGTTCTCTGGCATGAAAAGCTTATTTTTAAAAATTGTATTTGTTCTTGAAACAAAAGCGATCTTCTTTAAAGTAAGGAAACAGAACACACAAAACAAACTTCAATGTTATACCTATTTGTTTAGCAACGTTATAAGCTCCCTCTGGTGTATTTGCAACTAATCCATGCGGAACAGAAATTCCAGCTTCTTTCAGTAGTTCCATACTCAGATATTCATGCAATGACAAGTTTCTTCGCTGCTCAATTTGAAACGCATGGCTGCTAAGCAAACCTGGACTTCCACTGAGAATCTAAAAAAAAAGGAACACAAATTTCAGTTTGTCCAGTCTTCATTTACAGTAATAATTTTACATTACTTCATCATAAAAAAAAACCCCAATAAATGCCATCTACTTACTAGCTTTAAAAATCATAATTTTGCAGTGAAACAAGCATAGGCTATGCACCAACTCCACCTTCTGGTCTATGGAAATCTCACCACTGGAAATGGAGAAACAATTCTGCCCCCAAATCACTGAACAATACTTCTGGCCCCAAAGAGGACAATGCTTTCCATGCAGCTGACTCCATATGTACTGAAGTGTCCCAAAACTCAATATATTTTTCTTTTTTGCTATATTTATATGCTGCTCTCTTTCACCCCAAGGGGGACTTAGAGCAGCTTACAACAATGCCGCATATACAATCAAATAAAATATGATACATCATATACATAAAAATCAGGTAAAAACATATAAATACTGTAAAACCATGATACATATTCCAGAATCATTTGTGTTGCTACAGTTATGCCAGTTGTATATTGCACTTTATCCAAACACTTAATCCCATAGCCAGGTCTTCCCTCTTTTCCTGAAAACAAGGAGGGAGGGGGCCAGTCTGATATCACTAGATAGGGAGTTCCACAGCTGGGGGGCCACCATTGAGAAGGCCCTGTCTCTCACCCCCACCAGTCGTGCTTCTGATGGGGGTGAGACTGAAAGCAGGGCCTCCCCTGCAGATCTTAACTCTTTAAGATCATAGGGAGAGATACGTTCGGACAGTAAGTTGGACCGGAACCATATCTGTATACAAATATACAGACATGTGTGTGTTTAAATACATGTTTGTGACACCTTTAGTTGGCATTTGTTCTTTTCTGAATGAATGGAATTGTATAACATTTATAACATTGTAGTGACTGAGTCTGCTCCATCCAACTATACTCCTCTGTTGTGGCATGGCCATGGGTCATTACTCTGTATTCTAGGGTGTTTTAAAGAAGAGCGTTTGATGTAACTGATGAAGTGTGACCTGCCAAATAAAATGTTGCCTATATAGATCTGAGATTATATAATTTTTATATATTACTAGCCATCTCCTGCCACGCGTTGCTGTGGCCTAGTCTGGTGATCTGGAAAAGTAATGAGAAAGTGTTGGTTTCTAATATCTAATTTCTTTATGCTAGTGGGTAAACAGTATTTCTTGCTGTTTCTTTGTTAGTATTGGTGTGGAGATTGTCTGGCTTGCCTATTCTGGAACATGCAACATATAATTGTCCTTCTTTAGGGGTCCCTTTCAAATCTATGATACTATATCTATGTGTGTGAATCATATATATCTATATCTATGGCAGGATGGCTTGTTGTCAGGAGGGCTTCGATTACGTTTTCTTGCCCTGGTGAAGGGAGTTGGACTGGATGGCCTTAAGTATTTTCTGTTGGTCATGGGGGTTCTGTGCGGGAAGTTTGCCCCAATTCTGTCGCTGGTGGGGTTCAGAATGCTCTTTGATCGTAGGTGAACTATAAATCCCAGCAACTACACCTCCCAAATGTCAAAGTCTATTTCCCCCAAGCTCCATCTGTGATCATATGTGGACATATGGAATATGCGTGCCAAGTTTGGTCCAGATCCATCATTGTTTGAGTCCACAGTGCTCGCTGGAAGTACAACAATGCCAAAACTCAAGGTCAATGCCCATCATACCCTTCCAGTATTTTCTGTTGATCATGGGAGACCTGTGTGCCAAGTTTGGTTCAAATCCATCATTGGTGAAGTTCAGCTTTTTGATTGTAGGTGAATTATAAATTCCAGCAACTACAACTCCCAAGTGACAAAATCAAATTTTTTGAGTGATGGTCAGTCCTTGGGTGAGCAGGTGTCTTGTGGCCAAATTTGGCTTCAGTTCGTCCAATGGTTTTTGAGTTCTGTTAATCCCACAAACTAATATTACATTTTTATTTATATAGATTGCTTTACAGTGATGTTATATTACATTAGAGTCTGTAAATGTCAAGTGGACATACGCTGGCGAAGAGTCTACATATGGACATGCATAGCTCTGCACATGCACTCTGGGGTCTTCCTTCTGTCACAATCCAGTTGCTGGTGTTACTGATGGAAAGGGGAAGGGAGGCCATTCAAACGATAAAGATGCAGCTGGTTTCAGCTGTCAAGGAATGACAAAACAAAAGTGCACTCTCACCTGTTTTCTCTTTCTGGGAGCCCAGAAGTCAAAATAAGTGAAAGCAGCAGGGGACTCTCCTGGGGCTTAACAGGTGCCAGGCAATGTAAGGATGGCAGGGCAAGAAAACAGCCCTCTGCCCTGGCCAAAAAAGGGTGTACGTCACCAACAAGATGCTGGGTAGTGTGTCATCTATAGTAATGAACATTTGTTTTTAGCTGAGGGTTGCAAGAAATAGACAGTACGTTATTTGTGGAAGATGTTTGTTCTGGTTTCCTGAGAAAACTATTTCTCTTTAAAATAATATGTGAATTTACAGTCTGCAACACAAGGGCATTTTCAAGGAGAAAGATAATGGGGCAACTACAATTGATTAGATTATTTAGGACAGCTTAGAGAAAAACACTTCTTCTAATTTTGAACTGTGTTTATTTTTTATTTAATCAAAATTAGGTGATTTTATTTCTTGCTCGATAATACATAATCAAGATTATTTGCTAATCCTTCTCCCAAGGTCAGGTTAGAAGAAACCACAAGGGCCATCAAGGAACACATAATGTTATTTCCTGACACTTTGATCTGAACATACAACTTATTAGTCGATGTGTATGTTTTAATTCAGGCAATAGCTCTTAACAAACAAGAATATTGCATAGTCTTCAACATAACATGACCCCCTGAATAAACCAGCTAACCTTTGACTATCCCAGGTTGGGCAAAATGTGGCCATTAGGATGTTTTCGAAGCTTTAAGCCCTTTCAGACTCCTCAAACCACCCCTTCTCAAGCCATAAAACCAAATTCCTGTCCAAGAAGCCTTAAGGTACAGCAATGCAGCTTTCAAATAGGTTGAAGGAATTCTGGTCACTTTTGAGTTTTTGGTTTGGGGCATTTTTGGTAGTTTCTATGGGTCCTAGAAAGCCTTAGGTCAGTGGTTCTCAACCTGTGTTTTGGCCTTCAACTCCAAGAAATCCTAATAGCTGGTAAACTGGCTGGGATTTCTGGGAGTTGTAGGCCAAAACACCTGGGGACCCACAGGTTGAGAACCACTGCCTTAGGTGGAAAATTAGTTGGATTTCTTGATGTTGCCCAGTCCTGAACTATACACTCCTGTCTGTAAGTATGCCTTCTTGTGATGGGATAATATGTGACCATGCCATTTTCTAGTAGTCTCCTTTTCAGGAGATACAAATAATTCCATAACAACACAGCTTCCAAAACGACAATATAAGGAACAGAATTGCAGATTATACACTAGAGCACACATGCCAAATGCAAGATCCGTGGGTTAAATCTGGCCCATTATGTCATTTTATGTGGTCCACAATGCTTCCAATGCCAGGGCAACATGGTTACATTTATACAGACTTATAATTACAAACAGACCTTTGAAGGCTAATGTGGCCTTTTATGAAAATGAGATTGACACTCCTGCATTAGAGCTAATATATTTGGATGAATATTTGGTAGCACCTAGAACAGGAATGGGATTTATATGGTCTATAACCAGCTGTTGCTGAACTGCAACATCCAACATTCCCCATGACTGGATATTTTGGCAAGGGCTACTAGGAGGGTTTATTTACTATATTTTTATTAGAATATTTATACGCTGCCCTATATCTAGAGATCCCAAGCCAGGTTGCACATTTCCTACCTCAATCTAGCAAATACTACAGCAATAGAATACTGCATGACTGCATAATAATAATAATAATTATTATTATTATTATTTATTTATTTATACCCCACCACCATCTCCCCAAGGGGGCTCGGGTGGCTTACATGAGGCCAAGCCCAACAACACATCAATAAAACAACAAGGCACCAAGCAAATAAAACAGTACAATTAATAGAACTCACATATAAGCAATAACACACAAAAATTTAAAACCTTAAGGCCGGCCCAATTCTAATAAATTTGAAATTTAAAATAAACACCGGGCACGAACAGAGGTAGGATGTATCTAAGCAGGAGGGTTTTAAGGATAATGGACAAATTAACAATTGAATCAGTACCTAATCTTGTCACAATTGTATGGCACCAGTAGAGTCTCATATTGTTCAATTTAAGTAATGAACAGTATATTACATATATCTACTGGTGGTGCAGCAGGTTAAACCACTGAGCTGCTGAACTTGTTGATAGTTTGAAAGGTTGGCAGTTTGAATCTGAGGAGCAGGGTGAGCTCCTGCTGTTAGTCCCAGATTCTGGCAAGTTAGCAGTTCAAAAACATGCAAACATGAGTAGATCAATAGGTACCGCCTTGGTAGGCGCTCCATGCAGTCATGCCAACCACATGACCTTGGAGGCATCTACGGACAATGGTGGCTTTTTGGCTTAGAAATGGAGATGAGCACCACAACCCGGAGTCGGATACAGCTAGACTTAACGTCAGGAGAAACTGGTACCTTTACCTTTATATACCTTTAAACCCCAAAATGACTTGCATTATGTTATAACTATTTTAATCTTCACATTAGCCTTCTAATGTAGATTAAGTCAAGACATACTGCCTGACAATGTATGGGTGTCATGACTGAAATAAAATCTGAACCCAGTTCTTCCTGGTGCAAGCTAATGCATACACATATTATTAATGTCTACTGGCTACTCCTTCGTCCACAATTAGTTTCTGCACTAATCCCTTCTGAACGTGATTGGATTTGTCTTTAGAAACACAAACCGGCTTTTAACATTCCATGAAACGAACTCACTTTAAAAAAAAACCTCAGTCTAACTGGGGAGAAAACAATGTGAAGTGGAAAAACACTAGAAGAAAGAGGGATCAGATCCACAAATACACAATTGAGAGTATTACTACTTTGTGACCTCCTGCCTAATTCACTACCCTTCATACTATCTCCTGATCTTGCATCAAAATACAGTTTTGTCTGCTTCCTTTGAACCACTAACATAAAAAAGTAAAAATTACACTAAGACAAAAGAAGACCTTCACCATTTTAATTCTATCATATGACAGGGGAATCACACTAATAGTTAACTTTTGCCAAACAAAGCTCTCCTATTTGGAACAATAGTTTTACTGTGTGCCACTCATCTACCACACATACATTTTCACCATTCAGACCCCCCAAGCTACATAAATAGCTGCTTCCATACAATCTGTATGGAAAGTTCTCAACTAATACCTTTATCAATGACTTTGGTGACAGAAGAGAAGGCATGCCTATCGAATTTACAGATGACACTACATTAGGAGGGATATTTAATAGCTCACAGACAGGATCAGAATCCAAAATGACCTTAACAAAAGGAATTTCAACAAGGAGAAATATAGGATACTACAGTCAGGCAGAAATAAATGAAATGCACAGATACAGGATGGGCAACGTCTGGCTCGACAACAGTCCATGTGAAAGAGATCTTTGAGTCTTAGTGGACAAACAAGCTGAAAATGTTAACAGTGTGATGAACCAGCTAAAAAAACCCAGTGATTCGAGTCCGCACCAACAGGAATGTAGTATCGAGATTGAGGGAAGTCATGGTCCCACTCTATTCTGCTTTGGTCAGACCTCACCTGGAATACTAAGTCAAGGAGGATGTTGACAAGCTTCCAGAGAAGAGCAAGCAGAATGAATCCCCTTCTACACTGTCATATAATCTAAATTATCAAAGCAGACAATCCAGATTATTTGCTCTGAACTGGATTATATGAGTCTATACTGCCATATAATCCAGTTCAAAGCAGATAAATCTGGGAGTGTAGAAGGGGCCTGATCAAAGGATTTGAGGCCAAATCGTATGAAGAACAGCTTAGTGAGTAGCTTATGTTTAGCAAGGAGAAGAGAAGGTTGAGAGGGGTCTTGATAGCCAGGTTTAAATATTTGAAAGGATACCACACTGAGGAGGGGGAAAGGCTTGTTTCCTACTGCATAGAGACTAAGAAACAATGGAGCAATGAGTTCAAATTGTAGGAAAAAGATTCCACCAAAACATTAGGAAGAACTATACGATAGTAAGAGCTGTTCAATATTGGAATATGCTGCTGCCTTGGACTGTGGTGGAGTCTTCTTCTCAAGATGTTTTTAAGCAGAGGCTGGATGGCAATCTGTTAAAAGTGCTTTGATTGGGCATTCCTGCATGGCAGAATGGAGAAACACGCAATGGTTGCGTGGAAAGGCTCTTAGTAAAATCTAAGGCATGATAAAAGAAATCAAAAGAAGCAGGGCCCTTCCACTCGGCCATATAACCCAGAAATCCAACGCAGAAAAACCCACAAATATCTGCTTTGAACTAGATTATCTGAGTCCACACTGCCACATATTCCAGTTCAAAGCAGAAAACAGGATTTTATTCAGCAGGGTGGAAGGACCCTCAGAAAGCAAAATGTAGCCTTCAAGGATCATGAAGGTCACTGCAATGAAGGAAAATAAAAAGGAAGAACTAGAATTTATGACAGACACCTTCAGTCTGTGGTCCTCCAGCTGTCTGGGCCTCCAACTCCTGGGATTCCTTCCCATTGAACAAGCTGCTAGGGCTTCTTGGCGTTGGAAGCCTAAAACACCTAGAGGGCCGTTGTTTGAGGGTGCAAACAGAACTGGCAATAATATCACAGATATCTATGACCAACAACAAAACGCAAGTTGTAAACTGTTATCAACACAGAGCTATGTTAACATTAACTGTGTAAATTGGTTTAAACTGCACATAAATATAACGAAGAAAATGCACAGGGTATAAGTCTAAATCAGGGGTCCACAAACTTTTTAAACAGAGGGCCAGGTCACAGTACCTCAAACTGTTGGAGGGCCGGATTATACTTTGAAAAGAACACGAATGAATTCCTATGCACATGGCACATATCTTAATTGTTATAATTGCTGTTCACATGTTTTATCCATTGTTATGTTTATGCTGGCATTAAATTGTGCCTTTGTAAGCCGGCCTGAGTCCCCCCTCTCGGGGGTTGAGAAGGGCGGGGTAGAAATGCGAGAAATAAATAAATAAATAAATACTGACCAGAAGGTCTGGAAAGCAATACAGTAATTAAAATGAAGAACCATGTTAACAAATATAAACTTATTAGTATTTCAATGGAAAGTGTGGGCCTGCTTTTGGCTGATGAGATAGGATTGTTGTTGTTGTTGTTTGCTTCCAAGTCATTTCAGACTTAGGTTGATCCTGAGTGACGGCCAGATAAATGACCTTGGAGGGCTGTATCAGGCCCCCAGTCCTTAGTTTGAGGACCCCTGGTCTAAATGCTACTCAGTAATTTCCCTCTAGAGCAGTGGGGTCCCTGGGTCCCCAGATGTTTTTCGCCTTCAACTCCCAGAAATCCTAACAGCTGGTAAACTGGCTGGGATTTCTGGGAGTTGTAGGCCAAAAACATCTGGGGACCCCAGGTTGACAACCACTGCTCTAGAGTTTTCTCGAGGCTTGAGAGTTATAAATTCACTCTTGCAAATGATATATATTCCTTTTACTCGTGTTGGCGGTGAGTATCTTCACTCTTTTGTTAGAACTCTCACAACAAATGATAAGTATTAAGAAAACATTTACACAGTCTATGAAGTGATGAATTAACCACTGGAGTAGTCTTTGAGAAAGTAAAATGAAGTCCAAAATAATGTCCATATAGTTCAAAATACTGTCCGACAAGGATCCCCGGGTTGAGATGCCTTGTTTTGGGGGACTTCCCCTTCTTCAGGATTCCAATTTACACAGTCAATGTTAACATAGCTCTGTGTTGATAACAATTTGCAACTTGCATTTTGTTGATGCAAACAGAAGGGCAGACAGATTGTCCTTTCCCTCTTCAGACCTGGTAGAAGACACCTGTAGACTCAACGCAGTTTGACATCCCTTTAATTGCCATGGCTCAATGGCTATGGAATAATGGGAGATGGGGTTTGACAACGCTTTCTTTCCTTTCAAACTACAAGAAAGGTGATTCCATCTGAACAAGAGGAAGAACTTCCTGACTGTGAGAGCCATTCAGCAGTGGAACTCTCTGCCACGGAGTGTGGTGGAGGCTCCTTCTTTGGAAGCTTTTAAACAGAGGCTGGATGGCCATCTGTCAGGGGTGCTTTGAATGCAATATTCCTGCTTCCTGGCAGGGGGTTGGACTGGATGGCCCATGAGGTCTCTTCCAACTCTTTGATTCTATGATTCTAGATGGTGAGAATGCTCTGAATGTCAATTAGTGCATGTTATGATTTACAAAACACAACAAATGTAAAATGGACAACATGCAGAGACTTCATAGTGTTTGGAAAGGATCAACATTGATTTAAAACAACACAAGAATTGTTGGAAGCTTTTGAACAGAGGCTGGATGGCCATCTGTCAGGGGTGTTTTGAATGCAATATTCCTGCTTCCTGGCAGGGGGTTGGACTGGATGGCCCATGAGGTCTCTTTGATTCTATGATTCTAAGGCCTTGAGTCTCTTCTGTCAAACGGCAACTGGAGCCCCTTGCACATAGCTGGATAAAATCCCCATTGAACTGGGTTATGTGGCATTGTGGACTCAGATAACCCAGATCAAAGCAGATATTGTGGAAGACCTGCCTTGATAGTCTGGGTTATATGGCTGTGTGGAAGGGCCCTTCCAGGGTTCCCCAAGAGTGGTGCCAAACTGTGTTAACTCGGCAGTGCAGAGTGTGAGCCCTCCCTCTGCAGAAAGAGGCGAGTTCCGGGTGCCGGCGCCGGAAGGAGGGGGAGGGCATCTAAAGGACGCTGGGGAAGGAAAGCAAGGCCAGGCCAGGGTCTGTCTCCACCGCCCTCCTCTTCCCCGCTCCCCTCACCTTGGCAGCGAGGCTGGCGCGCCCTCCCTGGTATCCCCTCAGCTGCCTGGCGGCCGCTGTCACCACCCGAGAGCACATCATGGAGGCGGCCATGACGAGCCTCCTTCCTCCCCGGCCCCTCGGCTCAGGCGAGCTTGCCCCGCTCGCGCTGCGCATGCGCCAGCGCGTGCAACAGCACGGGCCAGGGCGCGCGCCCTCAATCACCCTGGCGCCACGAGGGGCGCTGCCACTTCCGGTTTGTGTGCCTGTTTCCCTCGCTTCCGGCGCGCTCACCCTCCCTCCCTGTTGTCAGAGACGCGGAGTGAGGCAATGGCGGCGGCAGGGGTTGGGGATCGGAGCAGCACTCGGGAGCGGCTCTTGGCAGCTCTGGACGACCTAGAGCTCCTGGCCCGGTAAGTTCCCCTCGTCGCCGGGGCAAAGTCTACAGAGACGCCTTCTTCGCTTCTCAGGGCCGAGGGCCTTGGTCTCCCTTCGCAAACAACCACTGGAGGAGCGGTTAAAATAGCCGTTATTTCAAAAAAGAAAGGCGCCTCGCTTTCAAGGGCCTGGAGAGCATAGTGTCTAGATCCAGGGAAGTAATGCTACCCCTCTATTCCACTTTGGTTAGACCACACCTGGAATACTGTGTCCAATTCTGGGCACCACAATTCAAGAGAGATATTGACAAGCTGGAATGTGTCCAGAGGAGGGCGACTAAAATGATCAAGGGCCTGGAGAACAAGCCCTATGAGGAGCGGCTTAAGGAGCTGGGCATGTTTAGCCTGAAGAAGAGAAGGCTGAGAGGAGACATGATGAAGGCCATGTGAGGGGAAGTCACAGGGAAGAGGGAACAAGCTTGTTTTCTACTGCCCTGGAGACGCAATGGAACAATGGCTTCAAACTTCAAGAAAGGAGATTCCACCTGAACATGAGGAAGAACTTCCTGACTGTGAGAGCCATTCAGCAGTGGAGCTCTCTGCGCTGGAGTGTGGTGGAGGCTCCTTCTTTGGAAGCTTTTAAACAGAGGCTGGATGGCCATCTTTTGGGGGTGCTTTGAATGCAATATTCCTGCTTCTTGGCAGGGGGTTGGATTGGATGGCCCATGAGGTCTCTTCCAACTCTATGACTCTATGAGTTGATGTCTCAGTCAACAAAGCCGTCTTTTTCACCTTTTTTGAAAAAAAATGAGCCTCAATGAAAATAGCATTGAACTGCATTCATTCAACAGGGTAGAGCAGTGGTTCTCAAACTCTGTTCTTCCAGGTGGTTTGAACTTCAGCTCCCAGAAATCCCAGCCAGTTTGCTAGCTGGGTTGTTGTAGGTTTTTTCAGGCTATATGGCCATGTTCTAGAGGCATTTTCTCCTGACGTTTCACCTGCATCTATGGCAAGCATCTTCAGAGGTAGTGAAGTCTGTTGGAACCTGGAAAATAGGTTTATATATCCAAAGGACGCTTGTTTGCTGGAGCTAGGTGTAAATGTTTCAACTGTCCACCTTGATTAGCATACAATGGCCTGACTGTGCCTGGAGCAAACTTTTGTTTAGAGGTAATTAGATATCCTTGTTTGTTTCCTCTCTGTTGTTTTGCTGTTGTAATTTTAGAGTTTTTTAATACTGGTAGCCAGAATTTGTTCATTTTAATGGTTTCCTCCTTTCTGTTGAAATTGTCCATATGCTTGTGTATTTGTGTGAATCATGAGAAATTAATTGGGTCTTGGATTGACAATATTCATAAAATCAAACATATGAGGATCAAAGAAACCCAAAGGAAAATAATCTCTAAATAATATAGAACCCCCCTCCAATTACCACACATAATGGGAAATATTTCAAACAAGTGTTGGCACAACTGTGGGGGGATAGGTTCATTCTCCCACACGTGGTGGGATTGTAGAAAAATTCAGAACTATTATAGTAAAATAAGAAAATAAGAAATAAAATGGAAGAAATAATAGGGAAAGAATTAATGTAGGATAAAGCCAGATTCTCTCACAATAAAGGCAAAAGAAGAAAATAATTAAACATAAATCCTAAAATATATGACAGCTTCAATACAAGCCACGATAGCCTGAGGATGGAGAGATGATACAAAATTGGGTTTAGAAACTTGGTGGTCTTATCTATCAGAATATATAATTAATGATTTCATCAATCAAATGAAACACAAGTATATAAATAGCCAAAAAGAACAAGACTGGTTCAGGAAATGGTCGGTGCTAATTGATAAAATGGAGCCCTGGTGGCGCAGTGGGTAAAACCCCTCTGCCGGCAGGACTGAAGACCAACAGGTCGCAGGTTCGAATCCGGGGAGAGGCAGATGAGCTCCCTCTATCAGCTTCAGCTCCTCATGCGGGGACATGAGAGAAACCTCCCACAAGGATGATAAACATCAAAATCATCCGGGCATCCCCTGGCAACGTCCTTGCAGACGGCCAATTCTCTCACACCAGAAGCGACTTGCAGTTTCTCAGGTCGCTCCTGACACGACAATTTTTTTTTTTGACAAAATAGATGGAAGTGACAGATACAGCATTTTGAACCAAGCTTTCCACACGGTTAAACTGATGCAGTGACATCATTTAGAATTGCTGTTCCAGGGGGTGGGGGGAGGGCAGGGGTGATGGGTGATACATAACTAAGGAATGTAAAATATGTCATTTAAGGAATATTTATTTTTGGAATAATGTATACTGAAACAGAATATTATTTGAGGACACAGAAGTGCTGGTCCACTCAGACAACTGGATAATATAAACCATAAGAATGGTTTTGATATATATGCTATGGTCATAGAACATTCAATGTACAAACAAATCTTGTTGAAGTACAACAGCCAGACTTTGCAGTTGCTACTCAATGCTAATCAAGCTGGCTAATTGCAACATGTACATTTGCTTCAAACAGGCAAGGGTTATTTCCCCCACCTTGTCCTTCCATAGATATATTTACACCCCACTTGCCTCATTCCCACACACCACTGAACAAACACCTGAGGGTGCCTGCCATCTCTCATCAGGAGAGAATGCTACTGAAACATGGCCATACAGCCCAAAAAACCTCACAGCAACTCAATGAAATGTGTTCTGGTTTTTCAAATATGGTTCCAGTTGCCGGAAAATAAATGGAAGCGATGCAGCGAACCAGGAGAAAACACTTTTATAGGAATTGGGGCCAAACACATGTAGCCAGAACATGACCTAAAGTGCCATTTTTGGGGGCAACAAAATTCAGATGAGCACTTAGTTCTTGTGTAATTATTTTTGTTGCATCTCACTTAATCAGAATACACATGCATATACATAAAACCAATAAGGTCATAAAATGCAAAATTGCAAACATTAACAAATAGACTTCCTAACTGGAAGCAGAGGGCAGAAAAATTCCATGGGTTTTGAGTTGTTCATTATCTTCTTATGAGGAAGTCAATCACTACAAAAGAAATTGATAGGTTCCATCTGCATACAGCTGACTAACCTTTTTTTTATCTGTAAAGTACTGAAAGGCAGAAACTGATTTGGTTACTAGTATAAAGATGATCTCATGAAATAAGGAGAGCTATTAAGTTTATGATTTTTTTTAAATTTAACAATAGAGGCAGGAAAAATGTGTTTCTGTTCTAAAAAAGGATAAACTCTTTCTTGCTTCTTTCTTTATGCTAAATGTGCTTCAGGGAGCTGATTGAAATGCTGGCAATTTCAAGAAACCAGAAACTTACACAAACCGGAGAGGACAGCCAGGTAATCAAAGAGTTTCAAAATAATATAGAATATTAAAGTGGTTGACTTTTTCACTTCTTACCATGCTTTGTTGTTGTTCATTCGTTCAGTCGACTCCGACTCTTCGTGACCTCATGGACCAGCCCACGCCAGAGCTCCCTGTCGGCTGTCACCACCCCCAGCTCCTTCAAGGTCAGTCCAGTCACTTCAAGGATGCCATCCATCCATCTTGCCCTTGGTCGGCCCCTCTTCCTTTTTCCTTCCACTTTCCCCAGCATAATTGTCTTCTCTAGGCTTTCCTGTCTCCTCATGATGTGGCCAAAGTACTTCAACTTTGTCTCTAGTATCCTTCCCTCCAATGAGCAGTCGGGCTTTATTTCCTGAAGTATGGACTGGTTGGATCTTCTCGCAGTCCAAGGCACTCTCAGAACTTTCCTCCAACACCACAGCTCAAAAGCATCGATCTTCCTTCGCTCAGCCTTCCCTAAGGTCCAGCTCTCACATCCGTAGGTTACTACAGGGAGTACCATGGCTTTGACTAGGCGGATCTTTGTTGCCAGTCTGATGTCTCTACTCTTTACTACTATTTTATCTTACCATGCTTACTCAAGCATAATTTGTTATCCGTTGTAATGTTCATCTCAATTTTGAAAGTGCACATTGCAAAAAAATGATTTTAATGTATTTTATGTATAAGTGTATTATGGGGTGTGATGTTTTAAATTATTGTTTATGATTCTTTTGTTGTGAACCGGCCTGAATCCCTCTACGGAGATCGAGAAGACTGGTATATAAAAGTTCTAAATAAATAAATAAATAATTTCTTGTCAAATATAATGCATGGGTTCCCCTTGCCTGTTGGATGTTCAGCTCACCGCCCTGGAAAGGTTGACAGGCAAGAAGAAGCCTTGCTTCTCCATCAGTCCGAGACTGGTGAACTAACTAGCCTTAGCCTGACGGATGTGTGGCAGCTTCTCAAATAAGGCGTCATTCGCAAGGCCTTCAAAACTGAGTTCTGAACCTGATGGAGGGGTGCAAGCAATTCTAACGTACCATCAAATCTAATGTGTACCTCACCTTTGGCTATGTAATTTAGCCAAGAAAGGTGAGCATTAAATTTGAGTAAATATGGTATTTCAAATGTTGAATAGTCTGTTAGACCAGGAAAACAAATTTCTCTATTTCTAATAATAATAATAATAATAACTACTACTACTACTATTTTATTTTTATACCCCGCCTCCATCTCCTCAAAGGGACTTGGGGTGGCTTACATGGGACCAAATGTAACACATTAAAATGCATGTCAACAAAATGATAACAACAAATAATATAACAAAATGAAACAACATTAAACAGTATATAAAACAACATCAAACCAACAACCAATAGCAAAGTTCAATGTCTCATTGTGTGTGGGCAAACTGGAGTCATAAAATTAGAAGATAGAGCTAATGAGTAAGGTGCAAATAACATATAGCAGCAATGAGAATAATAATGATTTACCATTAAGGATTTATTTTTATATAACAATCGTAAACTGCTTGAGGACAAGATTTTTGGGTCCTACCTGGCCATTCTATAAACTTTGTTACTTGATATAACTTCACATTTGCTACTTTGAGGGACAAGAAATCTTAAACTCTTATTTTAGGTGCTAGACATTACCATAATTAGGCAGTGTCAAAATACTGTATTTGATGATGGTTAACAAACAAAACAGTTCAGTAATCAGTACACTCAGCCTCCACATTTGTGAGGTTGACTTTTGTGGATTTGATTTTTAATGGATTTGATTAAAATGTACTTGGTGAAGTTATAATACATTTATTAAACGATGTATATGTTAATTTACAAATTCATGAACAGACATTTCTAATAAAAACTGTATTTATTTGGGAAATCACCTTTTTGGTGTCTTCGGCATGTTTTTTTTTTTTTAAATTTGCTTCTTTGGAATATCTGTGAGTGGAGTACAGAAAAATAGTACATCTGTAGATCTCTTCAAGGATTATGTGGCCACCATATTGTGTGTGTTGTCACAACAACAATGGAGTTTGGCAATGTTTTAGCAGAAAATACTTCAAGAAATTCTCACCAAATAGAACATTTGAAAAACATTTTTAAACAATTAAACTGACATATAATTGCTTTTGTTGGACAGATCCTTGAGCTGTTGATTCAAAGAGATAAAGAATTCCAGGAATTAATGAAATTGGCTCTTGATCAAGGCAAAATTCACCATGAAATGCAACTGTTGGAAAAGGTAGTAGAGAAAAGAGACAATGATATTCAACAACTTCAAAAACAGCTGAAAGAAGCAGAACATATATTGGTGAGTCTTTAATTGCATCTTGGATTTTGGCAGCTTTTTTAGATGTTAGAGCTCTTCAAGCAGGTCAATTGGGCAGACAATGGAAAAGATCTAATACAGTCGAATCTGTTAGTGCCATTTGCTGAGTTATTGTTTCATCAATTTTCTATTGTATTCATATCTTGCCTTTTTTCAATATGGAAATAAAAACAGCTTAAAGTAAAATATTCTTTTACTGATCTTTTCAACTTAAAAGGCATTTTCTTTTAAGATTACCTTTGTTACCTTCAGTTTCTTCTTTACATATTTTAATCATTCAGCTTATTGAAAGACTTAATGAAAAATGTAATCCTTTCCAAGTTGTTTAAATGTTTACCACTAAAAAATGTTAACATCCCAGGAAGGGGAGGAGAAGTCCAGCTGTAGGTGAGCTTGTGCATTTATTTGACTCATCTGCCTACAAACTCCTTTTAGTTACAGATAGGTAATTCAGTGAACCTCCAGTTCATCAGTGAATCTTTTTTTATACTCAGGCAACAGCTGTTTATCAAGCAAAAGAAAAACTGAAATCAGTGGAAAAAGCAAGAAAAGGTAAGTTATATTTTAATTATATTTAGAAAGTACTAATACCATTTTCTGCAAGTGCCCATATTGATATTAGCAGCTTCCATTAACCAGAAAAAGTGGGCATGTTCAGATTCGAGATGTCAGGGCAAGGTTTGTGCAAAACGCAGGACAAAAGGGTTGGGGCTAGAAGTAAAGTGCTGGAAAAAACCAAAACAATAAATTAGGGCTAGGCAGACCTGATCAGGAGCTAAACCGTTATTCAAATGAACATTGGAACATCCAAGTTTTTAAGTCTACAGAAAGTGGACAGAGTGGGGGCTAATCTAATTTCCCTGGGGAGAGAGTTTCAGAGTCCAGGGGCCACCACCAAGAAGGCCCTCTCTCTTATCCCCACCAACTGTGCTTGCGATGGAGGCGAGAGCGAGAGGAGGGCCTCCCTGGCAGATCTTAGAGCTCACACCAGTTTGTAGAGGGAGATACAATTATGAAGATAATTATACTGAATAAATGGGTACTGCTCCTAATTTCTATGGTTCTGGGTTAAATGACATTAGGGAGTGAAAAGGAAGTTTAAGTTATGTGAACAGTTACGAAATAATGATAAAGCAAACAAGCTTTGTCTTGTAATTATATCTCCCTTTTGTCAAAGTTCTGACACTTCTTCCCTGAAAGATCTATCTTGTGACTTTGCTGAAGTATCTGATCTTATTTCATTCCTAAAGGTGATTCTTATAATTTATTTTCCCTCTGCTTCTCACAGGAGCTGTTTCTTCAGAGGAAATAATTAAATACGCTCATCGAATTAGTGCCAGCAATGCTGTTTGTGCTCCTCTGACATGGGTGCCAGGTAACTAACAGGTTTCTAGCTTATTATGCTATATATTTTTGTTATTTAGTATCACTGAGAAGTTTAATGTGTAAACACTTCCTTTCTAATAATGGTCTGTGCATGTACAATGTACATGGGTAACTATTTAGCTTGATGAATTAAATATGTTATGGAGTATGTTCTTATATGAGCAGGGTTGTTGCTATTATGTGAACGGCTATTGCAACATTTTATTCCAAGTTGCTTATATAACTGTTCATTTTTAAGGGGATCCACGGAGGCCATATCCCACTGATTTGGAGATGAGAAGTGGTCTACTAGGTCAGATGAACAACCCATCAGCAAATGGAGTCAATGGACACTTACCTGGGGATGCACTTGCAGCCGGCAGATTACCAGGTAGAAGAAAATAAATAAAAGTGAAACATCTTCCAATTGAGTATAGTGGTATATAAATGAAGCAAAAATGCAAACAAAGCATGTGAGAACAATTACAGATACTCAGCAGTGGTTGCATTTGGAGCAAAATGATCAATGGTACAAGTTTCTGTCATGGATCTACTGTTGCTTAACATGTTTAGAAATGACTTTGATGATGGAATAGAAGGCACACATATCAGATTTGCCAATGACATCTAAATATTAGGAAGAGGTTTTTAGTGTGCGACTGAGTAGATAGCCTCAGAGATCTCTGGAGGTCTTTAAACAGAGGTGGGATGAGTATCTTTCAGGAGTGGTCCAGTTTATTCCTACAGATGGCCCTTGTGACGCCTTCCAGTGATATAGTGGGGACAATCCTGTATAACTAATTGTTGCACATCCATATGCAGATCTACACTGGATTGAGTCACACACTACCCCTGACTTAATAATTAGCCTAGGAAGTCATCTGCATGATAGGATTGCAAAACTTTCTGGCTATTTCGGATCACACCAGTATTCAGATTCTGGAGGCCCTCTCCAGTGTCATTCTATTGTATTTGGATACAGGGATGTAGCCAAACACTTCTGCAATCCTGGCTGTTCCTTACAAGCCACACAATGGACTGTGGCGCATCTGTCTGAGTGTCAGCTGCATTAACATCACTTCTGACCAAAAGATCATGAGCTCGAAGCCAGCCGGGGTCGGAATGAGCTTCCGGCCAATTGTGTAGCTTATTTATTTATTTATTTATTTATTTATTTATTTATAGACTTGTATACCGCTAATATCTCAGCCGAAGTCGGCGACTCATTGCGGTTTACAACAGTTAAGAACAATACCATATTAAAAACATGAAACACAATTACAATACAAATTATTGGGCCACCAATAATAATCCGATGCATCTCGTAACTAAAATCCCAATCCAAATTCGTCGTCCGTGATTGTCAGTCCTTTAGTCATCAACATTCGGTTGCAACGTATTAGCCAAATGCTTGTTTGAACAACCATGTTTTCAGTCTCTTCCGAAACACCATCAGCGTAGAGGCTGATCGTACCTCTTGTTGTCGACCTTTGCAATCCGAAAGACAGTTGCATCTGTCAAGTCGGAAAATTAGGTACCACCTATGTCTGGGGAGGCTAATTTATCTAATTTACGAGGGCATAAAAAAGACTCCAGCAAAAGCATGCAGGGGATGCAGAAGTACTTCATCAGTGTCGCAGATGGAGATGAAAGTGACAGCTCCCCTGGCGGCCAGAAAAAGTTACATAGCCTCTGACTGTCTCTCTTTATCTGTTGTGTGTCTTTGGCATTGAATGTTTGCCATATATTTGTCATTGTAACCCGCCCTGAGTCCTCTGTGGGGTGAGAAGGGCCGAATATAAATACTGTAAATAAATGGCCAGGGGGGAGTCTTTAAAGGCTGTGCAGTATTCTAGAGGGAGGCCTTGGGTACTGCAGAAAGAAGAAGGGGAGCTTATCTTTCATACATCCCTAAAAAGCTGCCGTCCTGTGTGTATTATTATAGAAATATTTGCTCAGTTGGAGTTAAATGTTTTTAAATGATGATGAAGAAAACCACAAGTTAAAGTGCTCAAAAGGGTCAGCATACTTGTCACAGTACAGTGCTTAGCCTTTTCAGCCCCTGAGTCTGAAATAGGGGAGATAGGACAGCCTGTAAATTATTATTTCATCTCATTCTGAAAATATCTCATGATTAAGCCTTCTTCTGTGAAACTTGTTTCCATGTTTTTCTAATACATTATGTAGCATGTTGTGAAAATCATGCCTGATGGTTTTAATCATTCTCTTTTGGTTTAGATGTGCTTGCGCCACAGTATCCTTGGCAATCAAATGACATGTCAATGAACATGCTGCCTCCTAATCACAGCAACGATTTCATGCTGGAACCTCCTGGACATAATAAGGAGAACGAAGATGATGTAGAGGTTATGTCAACAGATTCCTCGAGCAGCAGCAGTGATTCAGATTAGCAACCTCAGCTGAAGCTACTGACTTTATTGCAAATGAAATCAGACTTACCAAATACTTTGGACTTCATTCAGTGTTTGTTCTACAATCCAGATGGAGACTTGCAGCATGACCGAAAACTAAGAACAAACTTCTCTTTGTTATTTGGTTGTCCTAATGTTCTTGATAAGGAAGTGCCAGTCATAAGACCATCCAGAGGTTGCTGGACTGCAACTCCCATCAGAAGTAGTATAGCCAGTGATGTGGAATGTTGGGAATTTGCATCCAATATCTAAGGGGTGAGATTAACCCAATCCCTGGAATAAGTTGTTTTAGTCAAAGTTAGGGAAGAGCCATTGAAACCAATATGATTTGAGTTAGTCATAGCTTTAGCTGATTCTGTTCCAAGTAGGACTAAATTTGGATCCAATCCAGATGTTCTCAGTAGTGCTGATGTTTGTTAACTCTTGTATTAAGACATTTATTTCGGTGCATATTACTGGTAAATTAAGTTTCTGAAAAATAAATTCAATGATTTTCATGCTCAACCATTGCCAGCTGCCCAGATCTTTAGGAGGCACAAGCAATAGAGGTGAAGGAATTGTAACTTCTCCAAGAGAATGTCTCTCAAAAGAGTTCCAGATCCAACCCAGTCTTTACAGTGATTTCTCTTTAATGAATGTGGGAAAGATTTGTGCATATTTAAGTGTATTAGTCAACTGATGACTAGATTTATGTGTGGTTTCTGTGGTATATAGAAATCACCCTAATAAAGTATTATGAATGACTTTTTTTAAAAAAGTAAATTGTTTTTTTCTTGAGTACAATGAAATCTGGAGATACTTATGTGTCACAAGAAGCTGCCTGCTGCTTCCACTTTGTACAATTAATTTATTACCACATTTTTAAACAAATCCCTTTTAAAGATGCCATTTTCTTATTTTTTTTTACCTCATCGGTCAAGCTGGGCTAAAATATATACATCCTAGGGTATGAGTTTATGAAGGTATTGTTGACCAGTGGTAAGGACATTAAGCTATTTTTGCCTCCTCCTACATTAAAAAATCCCTTTTTAGGGCTGAAGATCAACCTGTAGACATGCTTATTCTAAAAGATGCAGGCTATGGGATGAGGAAAAATAAGCATCCACTCTGAGCTGGAAGTTCTTAAAATGACCACCTAGAATTGAGTTCAGACCGGTTTAAAGGAATGTGAAGGCACAAGTTCTTGATCTCAGGTGTGGCCCTTCTCAACTCTTTCACTTTAATATGCTATAATGGATATGGGCCTATGACAGTTGAGGGGAAAGCTCCTGAAATGTCACAACCTTTCCATATTCACTGGGAATATTATGACAATAAACCACTTAAAACAATTTCACTTTATAAAAGCTGGATCTGCTCACTCCTGTTGTAGCAATAACTAAACAACCCACGCACTTTCTTACTTTGTTCCAATAATAATAATAATAATAATAATAATCTTTAATTATACCCCGCCACCATCTCCCCGATGGGGACTCGGAGTGGCTTACATGGGGCTAGGCCCAAACAACAATTACAAAGATGTAAACCCAGCAGAAAACCACTGTCAGAAAAAGACAATCCAGTTTTAAGCTTTTTTTTTCTTGTTATTTACCTTATAGAATCACAGAATTATTGAGTTGGAAGAGAGAATGGGTCATCCAGTACAACTCCCTGCCAAGAAGCAGAAAAATTGCATTCAAAGCACCCCCACTTATACAAAGTTCAAACATGACATCAGCTACAGAATCAATGGATTAGTTTAGGGTGCATCTACACTGCACCATTAATGCAGTTCTCACTTCTGCTGCCATGGCCCAATGCGATGGAATTGTGGGAGCTGTAGTTTTACAAGGCTTTTAGCCTCCTCTGCCAAAGAGTGCTGGTGCCTTATCAAATTACAGCTTCCTAGATTCCATAGCATTGAGCCATGGCATTTAAGTGGGATCAAACTGCATTATTTCTACAGTGTAGATACAGCCTTAGTGTCTCTCACTGCAAGCAGGTGTAATTGGGCAGTATGAACTAGCACAATGCTTGTACATACTATCCGGAGTTTCGTGGCTTAAGGAGAAGTCAAAAATGAGGTACAATTTTAATGTTTCTCTAGCATGACCCTGTAAAGCAGATCAAGAAATGATAATCAATTTACATGGAACATTATACAGCAATGTTTGTGTTTGCCTTTTGAGACAAAATAATATAACTTTATTTTTATACCCCGCCAACTATCTCCCCAAAGGGGCTCGGGGTGGCTTACAAGGGACAATAGAGCACAACCAATTAAAAACTACAGCATAAATATTACAGTTTGAACATAAACAGACTATTGTCTCTTCTTCAAAAGAAGAAATTATGCTGCACAAACCTGAAACTGTTTAAACATCTTTACACTCGAATTAACAACTGTGTTGTGCTATGTGTTTTTGCAGTCCGCTCTCCATATTCACAGAATCAGCCATTTTTAACATTTCCTGAAACAGCACACCTTGACTTTGCTAATTTATATAAGGGACACAAATGTAACCCCGTTGTATATAATAGAACTTCAACATGCCTGGATACCAAAGGTGTATTGTAATATAAAAACCACACACGGTGTAATAGAGAATAATAATAATGTAAATTGATATGGTCAGTTGCCAAAATGCCATGTTTTGGAGACGTGGTTTCCATGCTAGTGAACAATAGAGAAAGAGGATGGTCTTCCATATTTTAGACAAAAGTAAATAATTTACAGAGATAGTTTTTTATTTCACTAAAAGTAGTTGCTATGAAAATGAAGCACTTCCCACAGCAGGGGTTGGAATCATGACCCTCCAGATGCTGCTGACCTTGAACTCCCAGCATTCCTCCCCTTTGGCTGTCAGCTGAGAGATACTGCACAACATCACTGGAGGGTCATTTTATTTATACCTCTATACCACAGAATAAGTCTAACTCTCTTTTGTTACATAAAGGTGATTTCCTGTATATCCCACAAGATGACTTAATTCTTCTTTAAAAGGATCATAGCCTTGCTCTTTCAAACAACGTAAAGGCCAGAACAGCTGATCCGCTGGAGGAAACTCGTCCCACTTTACCCATTCCCAACCTGCAAAGAAGAGAAAAAAGATGGGTCAACAGAGGAAACCAATTAAATTACTAACAAATGCCAAAGCTAGATAATTTTATTCCTTGAACCAAAAATTCATCTAGATAGGAAAGATCCAAGTGCCTTCAATAAATGCATTGTACAGGCAGTCCCTAAGTTACAAACAAGATAAGTTTTGTAGATTTGTTCTTAAGTAGAATTTATAGAGTAGAGACATCAAACGCAACCAAGATCTGCATAGTTAAAGCAACGGTATTCCCCCTAGTCACCTACAGATGTGAGAGCTGGACCATAGGGAAGGCTGAGCGAAGGAAGATAGATGCTTTTGAACTGTGGTGTTGGAGGAAAGTTCTGAGAGTGCCTTGGACTGCGAGAAGATCCAACCAGTCCATACTTCAGGAAGTAAAGTCCGACGGCTCATTGGAGGGAAGGATAGTAGAGACAAAGATGAAGTACTTTGGCCACATCATGAGAAGAAAGGAAACCTTAGAGAAGACATTTAGGCTGGGGAAAATGGAAGGAAAAAGGAAGAGGGCCAACCAAGGGCAAGATGGATGGATGGGATCCTTGAAGTGACCGGATTGACCTTGAAGGAGCTGGGGGTGGTGACGGCCGACAGGGAGCTCTGGCATGGGCTGGTCCATGAAGTCATGAAGAGTCAGAAACAACTGAATGAATGAACAACAATGACAAAGAATTTATATGTAAGTCAGAACAGGTATATTTTTAAGTCTAACTCCAACCAAGTGTGTGTGTATATGAGAAAGCCTGGGATAGCATAGGGAAGGGTCAACACTTTTGTGGTGTTTGTTTTGTTGCCTGTGCCCCTGTTCAGAAGATTTCACCTCGCTTTCTGTCCCTGTGAGAACTCAATTTTGAAAAATGTGTTTTATTGTGGAAACAAGGATTGATGAGAAAGCTTCAGACACGTTTTCCCCGGGATAACTCTTCCAGAAGTGAATTTCCCTTCTGAGGGTAGATTTCTCTCTCTTCCTGTTGTCTCACCCCTGTTCTTAACTATGAGTCGTTTGTAAGTTGGATGTTTGTAACTTGGGGACTGCCTGTATTGTGGCAAAGGCAACTAGGACTCCTTTTATACTAATAATTATCATTTGCAGGACACAACATGCTTTGTCCTCCAAAGCACTTTACTTTTTTTTAGATTTGCTCTTATGCCCTTCCACAAATGCCACTATCACCTTTCATCCATGTCCCAGCATTATTTCCATTTTAACTTTACATTTGGCCTTCCCACTGTTTTTAACTGCGTGTGGTCTTACTGATAATGTTGTATATTTTATTGTCTATGTTTTATTTTAATTACTTGTACTGTTGTTGTTTTGCTTGTATTGTTGTATTTGGGCTCGGCCTCATGTTAGCCACACCGAGTCCCTTGGGGAGATGGTAGCAGGGTACAAATAAAGTGTTGTTGTTGTTGTTGTTGTTGTTGTTGTTATTATTATTATTATTATTATTATTACAACATTCCTCAGCTGCAGAGTACCATACATACCACTCAGTTGCAAGATTTTATTTATTAACATTATCCTACCCAGTGCTCTATCAAAAGATCTCAGAGTGACATACCTATAAAGTCAACATATAAAAATGTTAAAAGTTAAATTATTTAAACTCGGCTCTACAGGCCAATGGATGCTCCACCTCAGACATCAGAAGACCTGCAAGACCGAGAACAAGCCACGAGAATAAAGACAAAGATCCAACAAATGCTACGTTCAGCAAAGGACAAAGGGGTCCTCTCACTTCTGCAGGAGTCTACCGTATACCATGCAGCTGTGGACAAGTCTACATAGGGACCACCAAACGCAGCGTTGCCCAAACACGAATCAAGGAACATGAAAGGCACTGCAGACTACTTCAACCAGAGAAGTCAGCCATAGCAGAGCACCTGATGAACCAGCCTGGACACAGCATATTATTTGAGAACACAGAAATACTGGACCACTCTCACAACCACCATGTCAGACTACACAGAGAAGCCACTGAAATACATAAGCATGTGGACAATTTCAACAGAAAGGAGGAAACCATGAAAATGAACAAAATCTGGCTACCAGTATTAAAAAAACTCTAAAATTACAACAGCAAAACAACAGAGAGGAAACAATCAGGCACATCTAATCACCTCTCAACAAAAAATTGCCCCAAGCACTCCCAGGCCATCAAATGCTAATCAAGGTGGTCAGTTGAAACATTCACACCTAGCTCCAGCAGACAAGAGTCCCTTGTCCCACCCTGGTCATCCCACAGATATATAAACCCATTTTCCTAGTTCCAACAGACCTCACTACCTCTGAGGATGCTTGCCATAGATGCAGGCGAAACGTCAGGAGAGAATGCCTCTAGAACATGGCCATATAGCCCGAAAAAACCTACAACAACCCATTTAAAATATTTAAATGTTTTTACAAGCCTATACTCAGAATTTGAAGTAAACTAGTGAAACACAAAGGCTTTCTTATAGCCATGATTGGATATTCCTGCATGAATAGGGGATGAACTGGATGGGTCTTGTGGTCTCTCCTAATTCTATGAATTTGTGTTTTTATTTAGTGACTGTATATTGAACATCTTCGAGTACACTTTCTGCAGAGCTGTGACAGAAAAAGAAACCAGCCTTGTGATATGTCAAACACTATTGGTGCTCTCGGCCATTCATTCTGAAAAGACTGGAAAAATTATGCAAAAGTTGGCCATACCAAGTGCTTGACTGTCAGATGAAGTAAAGGTAAACTATGAGGCACCAGTCTCAGGAAAACATAAAACATTCAACGCCGGAGCCTAACTATTAGTTGGGTGTCTTTGAATGTATGAAAGGAAAGAAATACCAGAAGAAAGTAGATTCCATCTGAACATGAGGAAGAATTTCCTGACCGTGAGAGCCGTTCAGCAGTGGAACTCTCTGCCCCGGAGTGTAATGGAGGCTCCTTCTTTGGAAGCTTTTAAACAGAGACTGGATGGCCATCTGTCAGGGGTGCTTTGAATGCAATATTCCTGCTTCTTGGCAGAATGGGGTTGAACTGGATGGTCCATGAGGTCTCTTCTAACCCTTTGATTCTATGATTCTATTGATTCTTTGGTTCTCCTCATCTATAATCTTAAAAGTAATTTCAAGGACCTACAACATTATTTAAAATACTTTGTACTTCAAGGCTTACATTAGGACAATAACATTTTATTTATTTTATTTATTTATTTACTTTGCTTATATACCGCTGTATCTCAAGCCCGAAGGCGACTCACAGCGGTTCACAAACAGTAAAAACAGTAGAAACAGCAGTGGTTCCATGCAACATATAACAATTGACTTAACACATTATCCATAAATTACCAATAAGCAATTACAATGCACAATTATTACGAAAAACAACCGTACCCAATCTTCTCATCATCCAAGCGTAGTCCAGGTTCGTTGTCCATTGTTCCATTCCTATGTTCCATTTCCAGATTGCACTAAATTACTCAAACGCCTGCACAAACATCCAGGTCTTCACCTTTTTGCAGAATACCATTAGAGATGGTGCTAGTCTAATGTCCGTAGGAAGGGCGTTCCACAGCCGAGGAGCCACCACCGAGAAGGCCCTATCTCTCGTCCCCACCAGCTATGAAAAACTATGAAATCCCATAGCATTTCCTATTGCACCCCTGAAGTCACCTAATTTTGTCAAATTGTGAAAAATAGGCATCACTATAAACCAGGGCACTTTTATCTTCTATTTCCAGATAATATAATATAATATAATGTAATGTAATATATTGTATGTACATATAATATAATATAATGTAATGTAATATATTGTATGTACATATAATATTTATAATATTATAATGTAATACAATATAATACTAATTATAATATGATATTATAATATTTTTATATTACATGTAATATTACTAATAATATTACAATATAATGGTATAGTACAATATAGTAATATATAATACTGATACTGCACTATGCTAATAATATAATGTATTGTATGTGTGTGTGTGTACACACACACACACACACACACATATATATATATATATATTGTAAGCCGCTCTGAGTCCAGCATAAATAAATAAATATTTACTCTGAGTCCAGTCATAAATAAAAAAATATTTACTTGCAAGCAAGTCTTTAAAGATACAAGATCTTATCTGATCCTGGAAGCTAAGCAAGGTCAGCCCTGATTAGTTCTTGGGTGGGAGACCACCAATCAAGGCCAGGTGCTGTAGGCTCTAATTCAAAGGAAGGAACTGGCATAACCATCTCTGAGGACTCCTTGCCAAAGAAAACTCAATTAAATTTGTTGAGTCACGATAGACTGACAGGGGACTTGAAGGCATGTACACAGACACATCCCACTTTAATTAGTGAAGCTGACTCCAAGATCATTAATTTGTATAGTGCAGCCCTTCATGGGAAGCATTATACAAATGTATGCAAATGATTCCCACTTTCATATAAGGTAATGATTATGTATGGTTGGAGAAATGGAAAACTGATAATATAGAGCTGGAAGGAACCCCAAGGGTTATCTAGCACAACTACAAAGGATGCACACAACTGAAGTGTTCTGGAGACAAGACAAAATCCTATGAAAGGGAGTCCACTCCAGCCTCAGACAGCTTCTACCATCTATATAAATAAAAATGTAATGTTCGTTTGTGGGATTAACAGAACTCAAAAACCACTGGGGGAATTGACACCAAATTTGGACAGCATACACGTAACAACCCAATGTATGTCCTTCACTCAAAAATATTTGATTTTGTCATTTGGGATTTGTAGTTACTGGGATTTATAGTTCACCTGCAATCAAAGAGCATTCTGAACCCCACCAATGACAGAACTGGGGCAAACTTCCCACACAGAACCCCCATGACCAACAGAAAATACTTAAGGCCACCCAGTCCAACTCTCTTCACCAGGACAAGAAAACGTAATCAGAGTTCTCCTGACAAAGAGCCATCCAGTCATAAATATAGATGGATAGATATGATTTACACACACACAGAAATAGTATCATAGATTTAAAAGGGACCCCTAAAGAAGGACAATTATATGTTGCATGTTCCGGAGGAGGCAAACCAGACAATCTCCACATCAACACTGACATAGAAACAACAAGGAATACTGTTTGCCCACAAGCAGAAAGAAATTACATATATTAGAAACCCACACTTTCATATTACTTTATTTTCCAGATCACCAGGCTGGACCACAGCAATGCGTGGCGGGGACAGCTAGTCTGCAAAGAATCTGATGTTCTGACAACACCTGAGGATGCATCTACACTGCAAAATTAATGCAGTTCGATACCACTTTAACTGCCTGGCTCAATGTTATCGAATTTTTGGAGTTGTAGTTTGGTGAGATCGGCATTCTTTGACAGAGACCTTGCAATACTAGAACTCACTTTTTAGGTATAACCTTAAGACAAAGCCCTACAGAGAATGTGGATTATTCTGCACCATTATCAGACAATAGAGACGGAGCGTAGAAATAATACCATACTTTCATTTTTTTCCGGTTCCAGATTTTTCGGTTCAGAGTCATGATTCATATCGACTTCTCCTTTCATTAAGACAGTAACGTAATGGTAACTATTCTTCAGGCTAATGCCATTTACAGTTGAAGCAAAGCGGACGTCTTTCAGGTGTAGAGCTGCTTCTTCCAGGGTCTCTCTTTCGGCACATTTTGTAAAGCTTTCACTGCAGGAATAAGGATGATAAGGAAATAGAAAACACTAGTTAGTTATACCAAAGACTTTTACAAAATAATGCTTTACTGCGTTGTTGAAGGCTTTCATGCAGGCTTTTCATTGAGGTTGCTGTGAGTTTTCTGGGCTGTATGGCCATGTATGGTCGTACAGGGCATAGGGTTACAGCCTGTGCTTGACGGGGTTACACTCCCCCTGAAGTCGCAGGTACGCAGCTTGGGAGTGATCCTGGATTCATCGCTGAGCCTGGAACCCCAAATTTCAGCGGTGGCCAAGGGAGCTTTTGCACAGTTAAAACTTGTGCGCCAGCTGCGCCTGTACTTTGGGAAGCCTGATCTGGCCACGGTGGTCCACGCTCTGGTTACAGACTACTGCAACACACTCTATGTGGGGTTGCCTTTGAAGATTGTTCAGAAACTTCAACTAGTCCAATGGCCAGCAGTCAGGTTACTAACTGGAGCGACATATAGGGAGCATACCACCCCCCTGCTGCATCTCCACTGGCTGATGGTCCACTTCCGAGCACAATTCAAAGTCTTGGCCAATAAAACCCTATACAGTTTTGGCCCAACATACCTCTCTCTATGTCCTGCCTTGTAGCTTAAGATAGTGTGGGGAGGCCCTGCTCTCGGTCCCGCCAGCCTTGCAAGTGCACTTGGCAGGGACGAGGGACAGGGCCTTCTCGGCGGTGGCCCCACGACTGTGGAACTCGCTCCCCAGCAAGATCAAGTCAGCTTCTTCTCTCTTTTCTTTTAGGAAGAAGGTTAAATCATGGTTCTGGAACCAGGTCTTTGGACAGAAAGCATGACAGCACCTTGGATGTTGAATTGGTTATTTGTCTCGATGACAATGTTTTTAATGTGTTGTTAACTTAATGCTTTTTTTATTGTTTTAAACTGTTGTTATATTTGTTTATATTTGTATTATCTTGTGGCATAGAATTGTTGCCGGTTTGTAAGCCGCCCTGAGTCCCCCCTCAGGATAGAAATATTGGAAATAAATAATAAATAAATAATAAATGTTCCCGAAGCATTCTCTCCTGTTTCCACCACATCTATGGCAGGCATTGTGAGGTCTGTTGGAAACTAGGCATATGAGGTGTATATATCTGGAATGTTCAGGGTGGGAGGAAGAACTCTTGTCTGTTTGAGACAGGTGTGAATGTTTCAGTTGGCAATCTTGATTAGCACTGATTAGCCTTTCAGTTTCTAAGTTTGGCTGTTTACTGCCTGGGGGAATTCTTTGTTGGGAGGTGTTAGCTGGCCCTGATTGATTCATGTCTGGAATTCCTCTGTTTTCTGAATGTTGCTCTTTATTCACTGTTCTGATTTTAGAGTTTTTAAAATACTGGTAGCCAGATTTTGTTCATTTTCATGGTTTCCTCCTCTCTGTTGAAATTGTCCCCATGCTTGTGGATTTCAATGGCTTCTCTGTGTAGCCTGACATGCTAATTGTTAGTCCATCATTTCTGTGTTCTCATATTATGAAAATATGAAAATCCAACAAATTTTGCATACAGCAAAGGACAAGAGGGATCCTCTCACACTCTGCAGGAGTCTACCGTATACCATGCAGCTGTGGACAAGAAGTCTACACAAGGACCACCCAACTTACTTACTTAGGCGATCCCTTGTAGTCCAAGGATGATGGTCCTCCAAGTGTAGGTTCCTGGTGGTGGGTCCGTAGGTGACTGTGGAGCCCTATTCTTGATCTGCATCTTCTCCCACAGTGAGGGCATCGGTTTCCAGGTGGAAGGCAGTCCCGGTCAGGGTTGGCTTGACGCGCCTTCCTCTTGGCACGTTTCTCTCTTTTGCCCTCCATTCGTGCCTCCTCAAATTCTGCAGCACTGCTGGTCACAGCTGGCCTCCAGCTGGAGCGGTCAAGGGCCAGGGCTTCCCAGTTCTCAGTGTCTATGCCAGAGTTTTTAAGGTTGGCTTTGAGCCCATCTTTAAATCTCTTTTCCTGTCCACCAACATTCCGTTTTCCGTTCTTGAGTTCGGAGTAGAGCAACTGCTTTGGGAGACGGTGGTCGGGCATCTGGACAACGTGGCCGGTCCAGCGGAGTTGATGGCGGAGGACCATCGCTTCAATGCTAGTGTTCTTTGCTTCTTCCAGCATGCTTACATTTTCCACTTGTCTTCCCAAGAGATTTGCAGGATTTTCCGGAGGCAGCGCTGATGGAATCATTCCAGGAGTTGCATGTGGCGTCTGTAGACAGTCCATGTCTCACAGAAGTATAGCAGGGTTGGGAGGACAATAGCTTTATAAACAAGCACCTTGGTATCCCTATGGATGTCCCGGTCCTCAAACACTCTCTGCTTCATTCGGAAAAATGCTGCACTCGCAGAGCTCAGGCGGTGTTGAATTTCAGTGTCAATGTTGACTTTTGTGGAGAGGTGGCTGCCAAGGTAGCGGAACCACCAAACACAGCATTGCCCAAACACAAATCAAGGAACATGTGCAGACAGTAATTCAGAGTGCACCTACATTGTAGAATTAATGCAGTTCGACACCAGTTTAACTGTCATGGCTCAATCCTATGCAATCTTGGCAGAGAAGGTTAAATATCTTATGAAACTACCCCACAAGATTCCATAGCCTCGACTCATATGTCAAACTGCATTAATTCTACTATGTAAACAAGAGGACAGGGAAGCAGGCTCCTCTTGCTCCTTTTAAAGGGACCACTTCCTTAGAAACCCGCGAGAAGCCCACTGCGCACGCGCATTGCTTCCTGTTTGGCTTGAAGAGTGACGTCACTCCATGACACTGGGCTCACCCGAATTCCAAGTGTCCTCCAGGAAGCTGAAAAGCTCCTCGACCGACGCGGCTCCTCCGCTTGCCTAATAAGACGCAGCCTGGGTGGGCGGGGCTGGTCACGACCACGCCCACCCCGACCCCCGGGCGCGTGCCGCGGTCCATGCTGCAGGGAGCGCGAGGACGCAGCGCCGTTCTTTAATGCTTCTTCCCTCTATAGGGCCACATGCTCCAATGGGCGGCAAACCCGAAAGGCCCCGCCCACCCTCCGCCTTTTAAAGAGACACACACACTGTTACCATCCTAAACTTCCGGATTGTTGTGATCCCAGTGCCAACAATCTCACTTTTTGACCCTTGGGCGAAGAAAAACAAGCTCCACAAAACTATATCTCTAGTCCTTGGTTTCTCATCTCAAGAATTCTTCCACTGTCACCAGGTGGATGCCTTTATTTTTCAGTTTCCACCAATATGGCCTCCATACATTCTATTTCATAAATCTTTTCTTAGGCTGGATCTACACTGCTCTATATCCCAGCAGCTGAGGATGTGATCTATTGTTTCATCTGCTTCCTTGCAGAGTCTACATTTGGGATCTTATTATTATTATTATTATTATTATTATTACTACTACTGGAGTTATTTTAATGGTAGCCATTCTTAGATGCAGCAATAACCAGCCTCAAACTGGAATTTCAAACTATAGCAATGTTAATGCAATGTTAATGCATTTAAACTTTTTTGTATAAACATGACTGCATTTCCCAGGTGCTTTATGTGTGTATATTTTGAGTACCCATTGCTGTACAACTTCTGTTGTTTGCTTTCAAACTGGTGAGGTCCTGATTTTTGTCTTGGAACATTCGTGGTTAGCGGAACTCGCCAGACGGCCCTCAATATCCTCGGGTCTTTGAAAACTGACATTTTCAGCATCACATTGAACATTTTGCTGTCCTGGTTTGACCTTGTTAACATCATACTCACCTGTTTAAATCCAAACAATAACCGGTCTTGAAAGCCACACAGTCCCCTCTTCTTGAAGCCACTTTGAAAGAAAAGGAGGCATCTAGCATGTCCATATTCCCCTGTGTCACATTATTTTAGGACATGCGACTGCAGGAGTTACAAGTTTTTCCTCCCATCAAGTATGCATAAACCTTACCACAGCAGCTAGAACATGCATAGCACGATTCTGGAAAACAGAAGAAACAGCAACAATAGGAGATGGGATTGAAAAAGTGATGGATATTATGAATATGGACCTTTTGACCCAAAAACTTGCCCAAAACAGATAAAGATCAAACAGAACGGATTGGAGCAGCATTATTAAATTTCTAAAAAAAGAACAAATACAAATGATTATAAAAGCAGAATAAAGAATTATCTCGGTTAGGATTAAAGACACACCCAAGGTGCATTTTTATCAGGAACATGTGGGGAAAAGTGTTAATTAATACCACGGGAAGTGATCTGGAAGTGACAAGGGAAAATTCATAAATGTTTGTCAGGTGAGTTTTTGGTTGTTGTTTGTTTTTTCTTTTTCTTTTCATTCTAGTCTCTATACTTTCTCCTTATGATATTCTCCTACTTTCACTGTATTAAAATCAGTATCTTAGGTATGTATATGATATTTTAATTATTCATGTGTCCAAATTTTTCTCTCTCTAATGTCTTTTATGTTACTTATCAATACAAAATCATTGAAAAAAAAGTATGCATAAACCTATCTTGTTTTCTTGTCACTCTTGCCACCCACTTTGCGCTCAAATTGAATAGCTCCCCTATCCAGTTCTCCATCTCACCCAATTAGTGAATGAATGAGTGAGCACAGGAATTTAAAATTTAGATTTAACTGAGGCATTTAATTCTTCTGACAACACAGACATAGACAGTTTAGACACTAAGAAGGGCGGGTGCTGAGTGGGTGAATGGTGCATGTGCTATGGGACTTTGGCAGCTCTCTCCTCCCTCCCCTATGGCCTGCTCCCTCCAAAAGAATGGGTTATTTTCTTTGTGTACATTTGGCCATAACTTCCTCCTCAAGTTTGAATGTACTTACATATCCTTTCCCCAGTTTCAATTCAACTTCCACTTTCAGGTTTCATCCAGCTTTCACTTTCTACCAACACTTGCATACTTAATTTTGCTTTCACTTTTAATTCTTGGCAACATTATTGTATTTTACAAGAAACCTCGCTCCTGAATATTACCCTGAAATAGTCCTATCAAAACAATATACAAGCTCTTTTAAATCTATGTATATATGTGTATTTCCTGTTCACTACAGTTACACATTGGCATGACATCTTGCATTGTACTGACCTTCATTGCCTGGAATGTCCCTCTGTAAATATAATGGAAAATAATAGCATGATTAATGGAGCAGCCACAATGCAGTTTAGGGAGTAAGCGGTATTATATTTTCCTCCCATTTGACCTACATTTTCTAACACACACAGACTTGTATGCTGCTGCTTCGGTTCTCATCATGTATCAGTAAGCAAACATTAAACCTCCCATTAGATAAATGTTGTGGAATCTCCAGAACATGTTGAAGAAATCTACTTGTTAGCCTGATCCTATTTTATATTCGTTTGAAGTAGTTGGTGCTATGTGAGTTCTTCCACGTACCTGCATACTTCCCTATAATTTATTTTATTTATTTATTTACAGTATTTATATTTTGCCCTTCTTCCCCTGCAAGGGACTCAGGGCCAATTACAATGCACATATACATGGCAAACATTCAATGCCATTAGACATACAACATATATAAACAGACACAGAGGCAATTTAACATTCCAGCTTTCCAGCTTCATGAGGGTATGCTCGATGCCAGCCACAGGGGCATCTGCTGCTTCACCGTCCACTTGTGACACCGAGTCCTTGGTGGAGTACTTCCTCATTCTTATGCGTGCTGCTGGGAGGTTTTATGGTGTCGTAAATTAGTTAAATTAGCCTCCCCACATAAATACCCACCGCTGGAGATTAGATCTGCCCCTTCCCTCCTGACTTTCAGAAAGCTGGTAAAATCTTGGCTTTGGGATATAGCATTTGCAGAATGATGACTGAGTCAATAACTGCTGACCACACTGACGGATGGTGATGAATTTGTGATTTTACTCTGACGACCTGGCCTTATGTAATTGTATGATCTGTATTTTAATGTATTTTATGTATTAATGTATTATGATGTGTTATGTTTTTATACTAATTGCCTATGAATCTCCTGTTGTGAACCGGCCTGAGTCCCTCTTCGGAGGTCGAGAAGACCAGGTTATAAAAGCTCTAAATAAATAAATAAATAAATAAATTTCCTACTTGACAGATGCAACTGTCTTTTGGGCTGCATAGGTCAACAGCAAGCTAGACTATTCATGGTCGGGCTCTCACTCCAACCCGGGCTGGCTTCAAACTCATGACTTCTCAGTCAATAGTGATCTAATGCAGCTGGCTACTAACTATCTGTGTCACAGCCCAGTCCAGCATTTCTGTTCCACCATTGCAACATGTCACTATCTGACTCTGAATATCTGTGATTTCCCCCTCCAAATATTCACACATATATGGAGAAAGTACTTTAAAAGAGCAGGCCAGTTGTCAATTGCGGCTTTTTAAATTGACATGTTGAATTCACACATGTAGGTTTGCTTTGCACCATAATTAAGTTGATTGTTTTGGTGGGAGCACTGCCTTCTCTCTGCTTCATATGTTCCAGTCTTTCTACTCAGCTCCCATATGCTGTGGTGCAGATCAATCAATGATAGGTACAGAGAGACAACCACAGAAGGTAGAAAGGGAGATCGTGTGAATTTAGATTACCACTTGACAAACCACAGCTTCAGTTAAGCAACCTGTTCTTCTTCATGGATTTTGTGGCTCAGACTAATGGGCGTTTGACAAGCTAATGTATGGGGGCAGGAAGGAGAGGCCGCTTCCACACAGAGGAAAGTACCACTGCATACTGTCTTGTCTTAACATGCACTCAGGCCCCTTCTACACTGCCATATAAAATCCAGATTATCTGCTTTGAACTGGATTATATCGCAGCGTAGAGTCCAATTCAAAGCAGATAATGTGGATTATTTGCTTTGATAATATGGATTATATGGCAATGTAGAAGGGCCTCAGTGTACAGCAGTGGTTCCCAACCTTTTTTTTTTTTTTTTGACTAGGGACCATTTGAACAGAGACCACTTGAACAGGGACCACTTTCCAACATTAGTACCTTACGAATCATTTTTTTTTTGGTCAACTTTAGATTTGGTTTGGTTATTTGGAGTGCTGATTCAGAAAATTGAATTTGGATAGACCACATCAGCTCTAGTTTCTGATACAGAACATATGCCATCCAGTAGTCACCATCTGCTCGCCCACAGAAAACAATATTTTAATAAGCTTTGGCACTATACAAGAGCTCTACAAGGTCAGTTGCTCTCATTGCAACAGTGTGGTAATGGTTAGGCCGTGGACCATATTTTAGTTCTTGCGGACCGCTGGTGGTCCACGGACCACAGGTTTGGAACTACTGGTCTACAGGGTCAGACACAGAGCTTTTATGCATGTTTCTGTCATACACTAACACATAAAAGCCATGTCAATGTAAAAAGCCAGGTCTTTCCCCCATGTTCCTCATTTGAGACTGGAGACATTTAAAACACTGGTAGCATAATGTCTTGTGATGAACAATATAATATTTGGCAAGAAAGAGAAATCAGGATGCAAAGTAACCTTACTGAGGAATTGTATAAAATGACTTTAACATCATGAGAAGAAAGGAAAGCTTAGAGAAGACAATGATGCTGAGGAAAATGGAAGGAAAAAGGAAGAGGGGCTGACCAAGGGTAAGATGGATGGATGGCATCCTTGAAGTGACTAGATTGACCTTGAAGAAGCTGGGGGTGGTGATGGCTGACAGGAGAGAATGCTTCTAGAACATGGCTATATAACCAGAAAAAACCTACAACAACTCAGTGATTCCAGCCATGAAAGCCTTCGACAATACAAGAAGGAATGTATTCATCAGGTTAAATATATGCTAAAGAAACATAATTGTCTACAAGTTGTCATTGCCAGCAATTTAAAATTCACCTTGCAAGCATGTGAAATGACAGGGTGTGAACTATATGACACCTTGACATTTATGAATGTTCATTTACATTCCAGTGCAACAGATACTACAGAGGTTTAACTGCTAGGGTTTATGGAGAACAAGTTGAACTCTGAAGTCTTAT